TAAGAATGAGTACCTACAGGTCTGGAATAAAACCTCGCTTTCTCTTATTACAGTCAGGAATGGAGGTAGACTGAAGAAACACACAGGCCCTCTGAATACAGTGCAGGTGGCCTACAGGTCTTGGCTCTCCTGTGTGTGAGAAGTACACGCTGCCCTGCTGGAACTTTGCGGTGAAACATTCCTGCAGTGCAAGGAGTGTGACCTCATCTCTAGCCAGTGGGCATTGCCTCGCACTACCAGCGCTGCATGCTGCTGTGCAGTGACAGTCATGCCTTCACAGACTGCTACCCTTGGAGGAAGGCTGAAATCGCCTCAGGAGAGGTATCCCAGCACAAGCTCATTAGCTTTCACAATTTTAACTCTGCCTAATTACAGAAGCCTTAAAATATTTTATGCAACCATATGTATTTTTAAACAGTCCTGTGTCAGCATGTTCTAAGAAAGCAAAGAATAGCAAATTAGCTCACACTGAATGATGATTAAAACTAATCAATTCAATCTGTTACTATCAAAATTACTGTGTTATGTGACAGAATACAAGCTGCAAAAATAACATTAGGATACATAGAGTGCATGTTTTAGGAAAGAAACAAACACTTGCAGCAAGACCTTTGCCTCTCACTTGCTATTATTCTTTCATTCAGCTTGAGATCAGAATGAAAAATCAACACCATAAGCTCACAGCCTCTTGTCCCATAAAAGGGAGAGCACTGAGGACTGCACTTGAGGCAGTGCCAAGTCCTAACAAGTCCGTTCTGTGCAGCTGCCATTGTGTCCCAAGTTGTTTATTTAGGAAGAACAAACAAGGTCTACAGCTGAACTCTGGTGTACTCGGAATGGAAAGATGACAGACCCCCAGATGAATGCTGTGCTCTGCCTGACACCTTATCTCCTCTGCCATCCCATCTGCCATGCATTCCCCTGGCAGCTTTCCCTGAGCAGCCCTTTCCACCCATCCTGACTGAGAGGAGCGTTCCCTTTACCTTACTGCAATTCATGCTCACTGTGTGTGGATTTACTGAGTGAGATTAATAATAAACTTACCAGACGTACCACAGACTTGTCCAATTAGACATATTCTGAAGGCATCTGTGAAGAAAGGTGATAATTCACTGATTTTAAAATCCGCACTCAAACGGCCAATACATGGCAGGGAATCAATTTCATGTGATTTCGGAGGTGTGAAAAGGGAAGCAATTAATAGGAATACGGAACAAAAATCCGCCAGATCTCATTTCAGAGGACTGCTCTTCATAGCTGCAGCGTTACTCCAGCTAAGAACACGCAAACCCCACTGTAAAAGTGGGGCTCTGGGTGAACAAGTGCTTTCATGGAGAGACAGCTACACACGCTGGATTCCCAAGGCACTACAAAATAGTTCTTTCACGTTACCCTCCATGAAGCAGCTGTCTGACAATCCCAGCCTAAGACAACTTCCCACTTCCCCCGCTTATTTTTAAATTGCTTTTTCATAGTTGCAGTACAACCAGGAATATCTTACTCAGATCTACTCGCAGTACAAAAAAACACACGATAAGAAGCAGATCAGCTGTAACACATTTCAGACGCGGCAGTACTCCAAGTGGAGACTTGGAATGGATTTGATGCAGAGCGGTGCTTTTGGCCCCGGAGAGGAGCCTGCCGGCTGACTCCCAGCAGCTGACACTTCCGAGTCCTTAGGAAGAAGAGCGCTGTGCAGCTCCGTGCGTGCAGCAAGGGCAGTCAAGTCACGGCCCGGAGCCGGGAGACAAACCGGGCAGCAGCGCACGGCCGCGAGTAAATCTTCCTTCTGCCCCGATACTGTCACTCGATCAGAAAGGGAACAGACTGGGAAACGGACATTTGAAAAATTTCGATTACTCACTGGTCAGAGTCCTTCCTGCTATCCCCAGAAGAGCAAAGCAGTGCCTACGAAAGGGGGGGAAAAAAAGGGATCAGGAAACCAGACGGACAGCCGCCGTGTCCCGCAGCAGGTGGCGGGCCGAGCGCCGCGGCGCTGCCCAAGGACGAGCGGCTCCGCGCCCAGGCCGCTGCGCTGCGGGGGGAACAACGCACGGATCGCCCCAATGGAGCCTCCCCGCCCCGCCCCGCGCAGCGCTGCGTACGAGCGGCCCCTCGGCACTCCGTCCCGCACCGCCGCCCGGCTCCGTACCGCTGCGAGCCGAGCCGAGCCGCCGCGGGGAGGAGCCGAGGCGGGGCCGAGCCAGCCGGGCCCCCGCAGCGCCGTGATTTCCTGCGGGGCTCCCCCAGAAGGGCCCCTCCGTGCTCCTCTTACGCGCTCCGGGGTTCCCGGGATGCCGGCGCGGCTCTTGCAGCCGCCGCGGGGCTGTGATTCGGGATGGCTGCGCACAAGGAAAGCCGTGAAGTTGGGAACGTGATACAAAAGGAGCCCGGCTGGAGACTCTTCGAAAGGGTTGATAACTGTAGGACAAGAGGAAGCGGTTTGAAGTTGAGGGAGGGAAGATTTAGGTTGGATAAATTCTTTGCTATGAGAGTGGTGAGGTGCTGGAACAGCTGCCCACAGAAGCTGTGGATGCCCTGTCCATCCCTGGAGGTGTTCAAGGCCAGGTTGGATGGGGCCCTGGGCAGCCTGGGCTGGTGTGAAATGTGGGGATTGGTGGCCCTGCGTGCAGCAGGGGGTTGGAGATTCATCATCCTTGAGGTCCCTTCCTACCCTGGCCATTTTATTTTAGGTGGATCACACATACTCAGAGCATTAAGAAGCTCCCCTTGCTTGTTTTGCCACCATCAGGAAGGAAGAAAACACGCATCAGAAGACAACTGTACCCATATGAAGGAAGGAGTATTTCTGCACCAGAGCTGAAGGTGACTTAAAGTTGCTGTGGAAGCAGTGGTACAGCAGAGGTCAGTTGCATGGCAGAAAAGTGTAATGTGAGTGCTGGGGCATAAACCAGGCAGCAGCTGAGCACCGCTCAGCCTTTTTCTCCCTCCTCACCTCTCCCAGTGGGATGCAGGAGAGAACTGGGGAAAAAAAAAGGCAGAACTTGTAAGTTGAGATGAAGAGTATATACTAAGAAAAGAAAGAGAGGAGTAACAGCAACAATAACAACATCTATACATATTTACAAATCAAGTGAAGCACAACACAGTTGCTCACTACTCACCAAGTGATGCCCGAGGAGCAGCTGACCCCCAGCCTGTTTCCCTCAGTTTTATAGTTTTTTGCATGCTGTCATATGGCATGCAATATCCCTTGGGCCAGATGAGGTCAGCTGCCCTGGTTCCGGCCCCTCCCAACTCCTTGTGCCCCTGGCACCTCGTGGGCAGGACAGAACAGGATGCTGAAAAACTGAAATGTCTTTGGCTCTGTGCGGCACCACTCAGCAACAACTGAATCATCAGTGTGTTATCAACACTGTTTCTTTACAAGGCAAAACACAGCATCATACCAGACACTGAAGAAAACCAACTGTCCCATCTGAAATCAGGACAACTAGCCACTATGCAGATGATCAGAACGAGGGTGATCATAAGCCTGGATAAGCAACAAAAAAAAGATAACTAGAACTAGACCTATAAAGCAGGGAAGCTAACTGGGTTGTGAAAGATTTCAACTGGAGAACAAAGGGGAAGAATAACTAAAAGAAGAACATCTTATTGAGAGCTCTGAACTTAAAGCATGACAAAATACAGGTTGTTTTTTTTTCCCTGAGATTTTACTGAAACAGGAGGAAATACATCTGGACTCCTGCAGGCAGAAGTTTCTTTTGTAAGAAGCAATAAAGAGCAACAGCAGACCTGATAGCATGGAAGTACCGAGTTGAGCAGCTTCCCCTCCCGCTGGCAGTCACTGGCTTTGCTCTATCAGTTATGTCACGTGCTGTTGACTGAAATATTTTCCTACAGGACCAACCAGGGTCATGGGACTGCAGCTCATTTAGAAAAAAGCACCATTCATAAGTGTGGAGAAATCTCTGAAGTCACTGGATAAGAAAACACATACCCATGACACAGACTTACTCTCTCACTTTCTATCTTAATGTAGCTTTTAAGGAATATAAAATGGATGTAAATGGCATTCTTTTAAATTCTATTAAACTACAGCTGGATTAGAACCAAGAAGTATATCTACATTTAGATCCAAACTTTTCTGAAAGTTCAAGAGTTCACATCTGGCAATCCAAGAGCAATCCACAGTTGCAACACTCAGTGTAAAAGCATGATGTTCAGGAGCACAGTTAGAGAAAGCAGTTAGAGAAAGAGAGAACTTAAGCTTCTGGAAAACTCAGTGTATTTCTGACAACACATTTTCGTATCTTCCTCACAGTGCGGGCCCCATCCCTACTGAAGTCTTGTGAACTTACATTTCTGTTTTGATGTTATATGTGTAGCAGTTCCTGGCAATTTTAACACCCACGTACAGTAATTCTTGCTAACCTGCTTTGGAGGTGAAGTGTTGAACAGAATTATTTGTTTCTTCAAGAGATTCCAAGAGATAAGTTACATGAAGGCTAGAGGTGCCACGTCAAGCTCCTCATAGTTGGGCAAACATGAGGCATTTACCATAGTGACATTTACAACTGGTCTAGTTCTGTTTTCTTACTGCTAAGCTAAATGAGCAATTTTAACAACCACACAAGTGACACAGGGTTTTGGAGTGGTGGTCAGGAAGCTTTATCACAGGCTGTGATTCATGAAAGATAATGCAAGACTTAAGGGATTCCTATGCTCCAGATCTTCACTGACTCCATGGTCTCTTGTTCCCTATCTTGAACTGGTTCTGTACTTTCCCCTGAACCAGATACCACTTCTTGACCCAAGTTAAACCTATGAGGCACTTCAGCTTCTCCAGTAACCAGCAGGAATCTGTTCTTAGTTAGAATTCAAATGAAAAACAATATTGAAAATAAAATTCCTGGGCAGCCATGATCTGGTGTCTAATCATAGACAGCGATTAGTAGACAGCATGGTCACCACCTCTTCTTGATCATGAAGATTTCACGCTGTATTGTAGAAATGATTGCCCAAACTAGCAGGAGGAGGCTTAAAATAAAGTGCTTTATTCTGGTCTTAGTAGGAAAAACAAAAAAAGAAAACCACTTCAGCCATTAAAATGCATATGAAGTTTGAAGCAGACGTTGTTTGAAACTCACCCATTTAGAGGTAAAAGATATTCCTTCTGAGGGAATTCCTGCCTTTGGAAGACACTGCAATTAACAGACATGTATCTACTTGGTGCCTCTCATTTATTCTTCCCTATACTACAATGTTAGCATCACCAGGTCAGTCTAATCCTTTCTGCTTTCCTCCTCCCCTCATGTTTGCAACAGTTTCAGAATCTTCCCAGGTTCCAACTGAGATCCAGTGATTTCCCAAATATTGAATGTTCACCTTCCACATAGCTTCAGGCCCTCAGCCAGTGGGAGCAGATATAACTGTTGCCACAAAGAGGATTCGGTAAGATTCCTTTACGTCACCTTTTAAGTTCAGGAAGGCTGTCTCAACCAGGGGGGCACTGGCCTACAAAGAAAAAAAAACACACACAAAATCAGCCTATTTCTTTTGTAGATTTGAAAAGATCAGTCAATCAAATTCTAAACTGTTTTTCAGCTCAGGTGTAAGATGCACCCCTTATAGCCATAAATCACCTCTTTTTCCTCTTGGTTGATTGCTTCCTGTCTTCGCACAACGTTCACACTGCAGTAAACAACAAAGACTAAGTGCTCTATCCACAGAGCACTACGGATGCTGCCACCACATTGCACCCATGACAACTGGGCAAGGCAGCAACAGAGCATGCTGCAGTGAGGGTTAGGAAAGAAGTGAACCCCGTTAGCCATGATTTAGCATTCAGTCTTGTGTAACAACTAGTGGTTGCCAGGAGGAACGACGTCAGCCTCGTATGTCGTGCCAGGATCTTTACTGCCTTCTTTCCAAGCAATGACAGCATCCCTTTAATTTTGGATTAGGCCGCTCATTCTGCCGTCCCACACACTGCTGACAACAAAAATTAGCAGAGTGGATTCTTTCAGTCTCCACCAAGTACCCAAGGAGATTAATTTGAAAGGGCAGTTACAGCCTTAGGGCTGTTTTGAAATTGTACTAAGACTGCAATACAAAAAAAGCAGGAGATGCCAGGGAAACAAGGTTCATTAAGCAGTTCATAAAGCAGAAATGAAACAGGTCCCACTGACTTCTAGGAATATACCAAAAGAAAAGGTACCCAGGCTTTAAAAGAAATGTGAAACTGTGGCAGAACGATCCATGGAAACACAGTTCTCTATCAGCAGGACTGCAGGTTTCCTTAGAAAAGGAGCATTAAGAAAGTCACTTCATGGATGTGAACAAAGCAGTACCCTTTGGAGAACAGGAGCAGTATTTTGGCGCTGTACAATGCAGTGGTCTGTAAGAATTTATTTTAAGTCCTATGAAGTGCCAGTGACTAATGCTTGTTCTCATCACACAGATGAATGGAAGTCAAAGATGAGACAGAAAGCCTTCAAATCATACATATAGTTACTGGCTTTTGTTCCTGCATCTTAATGTGTCAAAGCAGCTTTTGTATTGATCCTTTAAGTCAGTGAAAACACAGCTGCAGTGCTGGCGGTTTAAGAAGCCATGTGCAACTGTTACTTACATCAAAGTCAGCAGGTGGCACCCAACAAACGCTGATGCATTTTACATGACCACGATCAACTTTTCCCTTCACAGGTTCAATAGCAAATCCCTTCTTCTGGAGGTGTGACAGGTTATCAAAACTGAACTCCACATTCTGCAAGAAACACAACACGCCTCCATCACAGTCAACTCAATCTCTTTATACATAATAGCCATTTGTTCACTTAATTTGCCAGGATACTACATGGAGCCCTGCTGTTTGCCAAGCTACTTCTGCCATTTGAAACTGAAAACAGCCATCTTGTTCACTGTCACAAGAAATCATGAAACAATGATCCTCATTTTAGTATGAGGCTCAGAACTGCAATTCAGTTCTGTGCTCAAACTGTTGTATTTCAGAATTAGAGAAGAAAATTATTAAAAGTAACTAATTTAACATGATAATGCTAATGCCTCTTATCAACCCCTGAAAATCCATCTTTTATTTTCTTTCACCAATGTTTTTGTGTAAAGTTTGTTAGAAAAATATGAGAGTCATTTTTAATTTGGAGAACGAGTTCTTGACAGAAGGCACTCGTAACCACTTGCACTCTACCAGTATTTTTAACAGCATCTCATATAAGACTGCATTTTCTTCACCTTCTTAGATGCAAACTGAGCTGTCTGTATAGCTCCAACTTTCAGTTCTGTCGCTGCTGGCAGTAGGGCATTCTCTCCCTCCACGTGCTCCAGAAGCAGGAGAATGGACTTCACAGGTTCTTGCAGCTCTAAAGAAACATGAATCAAGTAAACTTTGAGAATAAGTTCAAACCCCTGAAAGCATGTCTATTCCATAGCAGCAGAACCAGGAAAATCCAGTATATGCTAACCACATGAAACAATTTTGTGAATATTTAGTGCATGCCAGAGAAGTGGCAGAAAAATCAATACAGCTTAGTTCTCTGTATTAGTATTAAATTACAGTAGATATTTACAAGGTAAGTTGCAAAGACATATGATCTTCACTAGGATTCAACTGCATTAGAATTCAGATAAAACCTGAAGAGAAAGTTTCAGACAGATTTGGAGGGGGGTTATGAATATAGGTTATACCATAAATCTTTCTTGTTCTCCCTGTGAAAAGGTTATCCTTAGCATACTTTCTCTCAAAAGACAAGGAACATGCCTATGGCTTACAGCTCACTGTTCTGTAAAAAACGAAGTGGCAGCACACTACCTTCTTTTAGTGCTTTCTTTGATGACAGAGGTGATGTTACAGCCAAGGACTCAATGGGCACATCTAGTGGAATTCCACCTTCCACAAACACGGGATGATCTCTTGCTGCACCTTTAAGCTGGAGAACATGGGCAGTCTTCTATATGGGACAAGAATATTTTGGATACAGGTTACAGCTTAAGCACCAGTGTAACTGGAACACACAACAGCCTCAGTTGCTTAAGAACAGTATCATCTGCTTACCCTCAGTGCCAGGAGGCACCAGACACTAGCACAAGAATTCTGTACCTTTCCCTTGTCTTGTCTGCTCAAGCACTTTTGTTTTAAAGCTTTCATTCTTGGGCCGTATGCCTCAGAAGGGACTGGAATAACTATTTACACTAAAGCCACTGAAAGAAGCAAAACTTATCTGCTGCCAAACTCAGCTTAAAGTTAATAAAGTTGAACCAGCCTTTATTCATTCTATTCTGATTTTCTTTTTACCTGCAATTCCAAAATATAATCTAGGAATACAAAACATGGAAGGAGAGAAACAGTACTTATTTAGTCACTATATTTCCATGCAGTTTGCAGTGCATGCTGATGGTCATTAGTGGTCACCCTTCCTTAACTTTTGGTTAGCCTCTTTTGGACCGTAGCATAAAGCTACCTGCCATGCTGCCAGCTTGTGTGTCCTGATTTGGGCTCCATCTAAGCTCAACTGCTGCTCTACAGATGGAAGCCTCATCCCTCATGCTGAGAGAATGCAGAAGCAGCTTCCTGGTACTTGGTGCACCTGCCAGTTTGCACTGTGCTGCATAGCTCTGCTCCCTTCTACAATTAACTACTACTTGCAGAGAGCCCAGCTGGAGCAGTGCTCAGCAGCATGGCAGCAAGCTAGCTCCCATCACCTCACTGTGCTCATGCTGTGCACAGAACTGAAGTTACAATTGTCATAAATGAGAAACTGAATATTTAAAACCTGGAGAAAGCCAGTGGGCCCCAAGCCTGCCATTTCCTATTTATATCAGTTAATCTGATAAGGGCAGTGTTTCAGCCTATAAATCCTGTCCACTAGATACAATTATTTACAACCCCTACTAAGATCCATACTGATAAAATCTTGGTGGCCTTACCTTGCCAAAGAGCACAACCTTGAGACACTCAGAGTAGTACAGACCTTCACACTCAGGACTGAAAGTAACAGAAAAGTCCTGGCTTTCTCCAGCAAGAATTTCTCCTTCTGTAGGAAGGACACTGAACACGCTTAAACCATTGTAGTTTTCTGATCCTGGTAAATGAAAACCAGGACGTGTAAGATAGGAGGACAGTTCAGTTTTAGCTCTACACGTATTTTAAACCCATTTCATTTTTGTTACAAGAAAATGAAATCTGATAAATGGTTCTGCAGCAAAACAGAGCATTACAAATTCTAGATAAGTCCATTTATCAGTTTGATGCATTAATCTCCAGTGGAGCTGAAGAGGCATCATCAAACCCTTCCTATATCCTTCCACATCTTTCTTACAGGGAAGGACATCCCAGAATATGCTCTCTAATTTAAAAACACTCTATGGGCTTATTTAGATTCAAACACTGGTGTCTCCTTCTGAATATCTGCTCAGGCTGCATAGACTTACAGCTACCTACACTGACAGATTCAGTATAGCTCCTGTAGGGGAGACAAAATTGTGCCTTTAATTTCAGCCATGTGAGGCCCCAGGTTCTGACAGAGTTGTATAAGTCTAACATGACAAAGCATTGCTGCTATTAGATACTGTGTGAAAGTTACCAGCAATCTCTGCTCCTTGCAAAGAGGACATAAGAAAGGATGGAATCCTCTGCTGATGTTTCTCCCTCGTGGATGAAAATGAATCCAGATGAATGGAGCATTGCAGGGTCAGTGTGGAAGTGTTCTGTATCTGATAACATGAATTTACACAACAGCATTTTTATGAAGTAAATAGATTCTCAGTCCTGTAGGAGCTGTATTTTGTAAACTGGCTGAATTTATGTTGCAGTGTTACTACAGTATTGTGTACACTCTACATACTGGCTAGATCTACAGAAGAGTTGAAACAGGCCCTTTCTCTTCTGTAGAAGGCAGCACATCCCTATATATTACATAGGCAGAACCCTGCAGGCAGCACAGAACCAGCTAACACAATCCTCTCTGCACAGTCCTGTTACCTTCAGCCCAACTCATTCTGCCAGATATGCCTTTAAAGCTCCACTCTTTTGTCTATAGCTTGTGTTCCAGTCTGGGAACTATAGAACTCTTCATCCTACCTATAGAAACTGTTGATATGCTTCCTTGGTTCAGTACTGAGGGTTTTACCTTGAACGTGGACGTCGCCTTCTCTCCGGTTAGGACATAGCCCATATCAAGTACTTCTTCCACAGAGCAAACTGTTGATGGCATCACCCCATAACCAGTGATCCGTAGTGGCAAGTTGTTTTTTACAGTTTGGACATGCAGCATTTCAAAGAACTACCAAGGAGATGTCTGTATCAGCCCGTTTGCTGAAGGAAACACCCCCACAACCCTCAGCAACACTGCCTGGCTTCCAGGTCAGCCTCCCCACCAGCCACCCCAACCCTCCTGCCCTGCACCCCCAGCGGCTGTTACTACAGAACTTCTGAATTTAGTGCACAACGATCCAGATGTTGAAAAGGGGCTGTGCACAGCCAGAGTTTTCTTATTATACAGACACGCCTAGTCAGCAGAACATATATATGATGTGGCCCTTCATGTCTCCCTCTTTTACCCAAAATCTCCTTACTCACCAATTTGTCCTCATTTGGAGTAAAAGAGATGACGAGGGTTCTGATTTCACCTGGCTCAAGCATCCTAACTGGTCTGACCAACAGGAAGGGACCGCTGGGATTCAGCACTGAGAATCGTAGCTAAAGAAGAGCAACTCAAGGAAAAAGTTTATGAACAAACACTGGGAAAAGAGAGAAGAGCAGCTTGTAAGCATTGTTCTGGGGCAAAAAAAAAAAAAAAGTGTAAACCATCCATCTCCAAACAAATGTGAGAGATCAATAATGAAGAGAAAAGAAGGATAAATTGGTTAAATATTCTTGGTAATGCACTTCTTGTGTCACCAGATTTCAGAGCGAGACTCGAGGAATCTCCTCCTTGAGTGCTGAACTGCTCCTACAGATAAGGCTCAAAATGAACAGCACCTGAATGACAGATTAACTCTGAAAAAGGATACTTCCAGCTTTTCTGGGGAGATATTTTGTAACGTAGTTTGCTTCAGTATTGTTTGGCCTGTCATGAATGAAAACGAAATTTAAAAGCATGATGAAGCTTACTCCCTACACAATCAATTCATTTCAGTCACGTTTCTACCTATGTCAAACATTCATTCCACTTCCATGGCTAACAAATAGAGTCCATTTAAAGCTTCAAGTTTGGACAGTATTGCCCAGCTCCTGATTCCACATTTCAGTATCAAGTTAGCTTTTTCCATGCCTCAGAGGTCCAGATAGGCTCCTGATTTTCCACCTGAATACCTTTCACAGGGCTAATTTCTATACTGACATTCAAAAAAAATCCACTAAGTATAAAAAGAAAATGCAAAACTACAACCAGAAGAAATTAAAGACAGAAAAAAAGGTCAGTGTTTGAATTCAGATTTCATACCTACTGCCACATCACCAAAATCGACCGTGTTTCTTCCATTATCTGAAGTGACCACAACAGATGGTGCTACAGCTGGACAATGCAGCTCCAAATACAAGGTGTTATAAGGGCTGGGGAGACAGTAAAAGGATATTTGTTCCAAAATTATACAGACAAAAAGCAATTATCAGAAATCTGTTCCTGTTCTGTTCACACAACAGTATCATGAAGCTGGTATTACAAAAGAAAACAATTTCTAGTGGCTGATTTTTGTGCGTGTTGCCTCCACAGAAAGATGGAGGACATCAAGCTATGACATTTTTCACACAATTGTTCTCTAAGCTGCTTTCCTACTTGCATGTTAGATTCTTACCCAACCAGCAGGCTGTGAGCATGCATTTCTACCACTGACCTATGAAGCAATTCTGAAAATAAACCAAAGGAATAAATTAACCTGCCTACCACTTCCCTGCAAACCTTCTGAAATAAGAAGTATTGCAAAGATCTCGCTTCAAGTCGTGTGTGTGGGGAGTACCTGAAGCTTAGACTTTCCAAGCCTCTCTTCTCATCAATATCTCCACTTGCAACAAAGCATGGTATGGTGTATTTTTCAAACCTTCCTCTGAAATTCCTTGTCAGGAATGCCTGCGCTGCTATGTAAGCCTCTGAGCTAGAAAAGCCAGGAATAACAATAATCTTAGCAAGTCAGAGAGAAAGGAAGAGAAAAAAATATCAAAAGATTCCCACTGAACAATTTGCACTTATATTTTCTTTGTTAGACATTCAAAATACAGCATAGCAGTGACACTAAATCACTCAGTACACCAGAATGGACAGCTTCCAGCTGGGCTGAATTCATACAGCTCCATCAGACCTGTTTAGAAAAGGTGCACTGTTCAGTCATTTCCACTGGCAGCAAGGTTCAGCTGTGGAGCTGCCCCTTAAAATGATACAGTTGTATCCCCAGCCACATCTACCAGGGCAGCCACAGCTCGTGCTTTCTGATAGATTCTTTGAAGTCTTCTATTTCTCTGGTGCATATAAAAGGATTCTTTGCCTCACATGAGAGGTTACAGCTGCGTGGCGTAAAAGCAGTGCTAATTTTGGAAGCAGCATTTGCAATAGAACTGAAGTTATTTCTTCACTACAGTTTGGCTTTTTCTCCACATGTAGGTTCAGCAGATTTATAAAGAAAATTTGTTTAGTTAATAGAAGATGCTTTTGCTGACTTACTCAGACTTTATCTCTTTGGATTCTGGTTGCTCAGATTTATATGAAGAACTCAGGTATTTAGCACTCCCAGTCCTCACAACCTGTCTGGAAGACCGCCGTCTGGAAATAGGAACACTTAATCTCTTTCCCTCTCTCTTTTCATCTGTCTTCCTTTTCTGCAAACACACAGCAAACTTGCACACTAATACCAACCACATACAATGCAATCAAGGCATTTGTTTACAAATATTCAGTCCCTGGCCCAAGGATCATCTGAGAGGCAGCACCCTGCAGGGTATGAAGCAAGGTAACAGAATTGTGGTAACAGATCACAGATGCAGTAGTTGTTACAAACAGTTCTAATAACATTCAGATAAAATGGGCAATTTTAGCTATTGACCTCATAATCAAAGCAAACCACAGTGCTGACATAAGCTAACTGCTAATAAAACCCTATAAGAATGAAAATGTGGTAGTGAAGTAAAATTGATGTGCAGTCTGTTCACTGAGCAATAAGTGCAGCAGTGCCCTCCTGTACAGCAGTGCTGTAAGGCAGGTCTTACAGTAATCAGGAGTTTGGACTTCAATGTGGAAATAATTTTGTGATAAAAATACCGTCTAGAGAAACAAATATCTGGAAGTAATAGACCAACAGCACGTGCTGCTTCTTAGCATTCCTTACTTGTATTTCTGCCCCTGTTGCAGCTGCTTCACAAAGCCTCAGAGCTGCCTCTTCTCTGATTAGCTGATCTGACAATGTTGGTCTGAAGGACACTTGAATCAAGCTTTTCTGGGAAAGAGGGAATATACACAAGAATGATAGGCAGAATTCATCCCTCATACATGTGTTATACCTACAGAGCTTGATAGGAGCATATATCTGACAGCAAAACATTTTTTCTCCCATAACGAGACAAACTTAATAAGGTCACTTTCAGCTTTTCTGAAGTCCACTGCATCCCAGTGGGCTGGTATTACATGGCCATCACTTTTGGTATCTAAACTTTCCTCAAATAAGTCATAGTGATAGCACTGGGGAAAGAACACTTGGGGACAGCTCCCATAAACTAGACTTGATGGTTAACCTTAAGTCCAATTATAACTATTTCAGGTGAAGTCTTCCAACTATGCTAATAATTTGTTTTCAACATCATTTGCAAGTGACAGAACTTGCAGGGATGTAGATGATCAAAAGACGTGTTTGAACACTTGACATTCAAAATGAACATACCTTCCCAGGCAACACAGTTCCAACAGAAGGCATGATTGTCACAGGACAGTCTTCTGGCACGTAGAATTCAAATGAAGTGGGTCCAACAGGGGCAACTTCCCCACTGCCAATTCTTGGGACTGCATGAGTAAAGAGGTTGGTACTCACATGGGAATTCATCACATACAGTGTTGCTGTAGACACATCATTTAGAGCTGTTGCAGCAAACTGAACTAAGGAATGAGACAATTCAAGAGGTGGGTGGACTCCAACTGCTCTGCATGACAACTTGAATTGTCTAAAAATAAACACATGATAAATTGTTTCAGCATAAAATAGTCTCTTCATCAGCCCCAAAAATAGGAAACTGATCTTGTAGTCCCTATTTAAGAAGAATTTCTCAAGCTTACAATGGAAATTTTGCATAAAGATGGAAAATAATACTGTTTTTAATGAACCATACTTGAATTCTTCCTCTATGAAGAAATACATCCAGTCTAATCATATTTTTTGTCATCATTATTTTAGTAGCATAGCTTAATGCATGAAGCATTTTTGACAAAAAAAAAAGAGCCCTAATAATTAAGAAAAACTTCAGTAATTCTACTGAAAAAGCAAGCAAAATGTTGCAGGCTAACACCTGAAGCAAGCTAGCAGCTTGCAAATGAGACACAAACTAAGGATGAAACTGATGGCAACGAACAACTCTTGTCAGCTGAATCCATACCTGCATCACAGCTCTATCCTAGCCTCACCTCTTCATAGTGAGGGGGATTTTGTTACTGGACAGGCTTACGTGAATGGTAGAAATTAAGTGTGATTATGACTTCTGAACTACATGTTGCTCAAGCAGTTTCTTCACGTACCTATTAAGCTCTGACTTGCAGGTCAGTTCAAAGCTGTACTCTTTTGCCTTGTTGGCTTTAAAGACTACGTGCAACGTCAGACTTTCAAGAGGAAGAACAACTCCAAATCCATCATTAGGCTGAATTTCAACAAACTTTGAAGTAGCAAGATAAGAAATAGTTGTTAGGATAATAAGTTATCAAATAAAGCTATATTATTTAGTTAAATTACTATAATAATAAATTCAGAAAGTTAGATACAAATGTTGTTATTAAATCCACAAATGTCAGGAAACCAAATCAAGAAGCTTTCATTTGAGTTACAGTGCCTAGGATCTGACTGATGTGTGCTTTATTATTCTTATGGTAGCTTGAAAAGCAGAAACTTAAACCCATGAACTCCTATTTCAGCAGAATCTCTTCCCTTCAGTTGTTACCATCAATAGTAATCACTTTTCTCCAATGATGCTTATTTATTCTTTTCATGGACAACTGAATGAAGCATGATAAAAATCTCAACTGCTTCCCTCTGCACTTGAAGAGGGGATACTTGTGTTGTGCAGGTACCATGATGACGAGGACACGAGTTCAGCATCTACATATGTGTATTGTTCTATGTTTGTGAGTTAGTAATGATTCAGGAATGTCTTCCCATCACAGTTGAATCGTGAAACACATCCTGAAAAGTGCAGCTGTATTTTAAAAAAGCCTTTTAAATATTCTAACTACTTGATTTTAATTGCTGAAACAGCAGAGAAAGGGACAACATTTAATAAAAAGTCACATTCCTCCTAGCTCCAACCCCAATATGCCAAGCTGTTCCCTATTACAGTCATCATGCTCTTGTGAAGCTTAAACAACTTTTGTTTACTCAAAAATTGAGAAGAAAAATCATCCAGTGGCCCCAGCCTTCAGAATTAATCAGGATTAATACTTTCACTGGTTTCCAGAAACCAGTTCTGATTTATTCATTCTTGCATTGAAATACAATTCCTAAATAATTAGATATATCATAAATCAAGAAGAGGTGCATTCAGGATAACAACCTACCTCTGGGAGTTTCACAAATCCAAACTCCTGTGGCAAGATGGACTTGTTGGTTAGCGTGACATTTGTCCTTACAGCTTCATAGATGGTGCAGTACCCAAAATCGATTTCTGCTGGACTGATTTCCAAGTCAGAAGTAGTAACAATTGCATGGACAGTAAAATTAATTTGTTTAGTCTGAAACAAATCCAAAAGCAAAGGATATAAACCTCTATCCACAGCATCGTGTGGGAAGAATTTAAGTGAAACGTCATCAGAAAAGATAACCACAAAACAAGCTGCTCTACTATATTGTTTGAGAGCCACAAATGGAAACGTAACATACTTACCTTGAACTTCAGCCTCATCGTTCTTCAAAAATAAGCAATAATAAATAGCTCTTTAGGAAGCAAAATTGCCAAAAACCACCCTTTTAGTCACCTAAAATTCTGTATGTTATAATGGAATCACATCTGCTTTTCCAGAAAACATGGATTTTAAGAATATATGACAACAGTAGAAAGAAGAATGAAGAAATTGCACTGTGGAATGCAAGAGCTCTGTTACAGAAGAGACTAGAAGGTAATAAGTGAACACTAATTACAAAGGATTAAGTTGTCTGTGTTGTAAACATGCTGACAAGAAAAAAACATCATGAAATCTATATCATCACTGAGAATGGCTTTTGCTGTTATCATAGGACTTCAGTTGTAAAGCAAGGTTAGTTGTAACACCGCACCGTGACAAAAAGCACAGCAATGACAGCAGAGCAAAATCTCATACAGCAGTAAACGAGGACTTGCTCAATTGCAACAGCCATAGGCACAGAAACAAAGGAAAAGAAGCTGCTTACCTCCCAAAGACCTCAAACACACAGGGATCTCCAGCAAAATCCCCTGACCTCCACTGCCAGCCCTTAAATGAGGGCTGGGAAAGGGTGGATCCTGGCTCCAGCCCTTCCAATCACTCAGTGCATTGCATGCACCTGAGCTCCCCTGGGCTGGCCCTGCCAGGTGCTCCATCACTGCCAGCCATGACTCAGCATTGCTGTTACAGTTAGGTATCACTGAGTGAACATAAGCTAAAATAATAGATCCACAGGACAAAAAAACCCACAGCAACTAACATTATCTGCAATCTGTATCATCACTGGAGCTTCCAGAACACCTGTCTCTTCATTAAAACAGCTCCCTGCGTCTTCGGGGAGGGAGTGCCTGAAATTAAGAAAAGTTACATTCAGCTTCATAAAAATATTGTGACTGTTTTCGAGCTAAGGGGATTAATAAACTTTTGATGGATGTGTTTCTGAACCAAAGGAGAAAACATATCTGTTACTTAAGGTCTAAAAGTTCATTCTTTACAGCTTTTACTTTTCACATCACATTTATGTTACAGAGTATTCACATACACAGTTGGTTAAACATCAGCTCCAGTGCTTCCATGATGTTAGCTCTAAATAAAATATTGTAAGCCTTACATATACAAGTATCAGGGAGAATGGCAGAAGAAAATACCATCCAGAAATTACAGTGACCTATGAAATTCTGCCTTTAATCCAAAAAGATAAAATTTCACAAGTGAGAAATGTTGTAGAGTTGTCACAGATTTCCTATAGGATGGCACACATCCAGGCAGCCTGCTCTGAGCAGGGGTGCATGGATTGCAGGGATGTCCAGCAATGAGGTTAGAATCAGTGACCGTGTTTACTAATGGCAGATTCTTTTTATTTATTTGAAGATGGGATTTGGGCACACGGGAGTTTAAAGGAGCTATTTACAGAAAACTGCAGCCATTTATGCTTTCTTATAAACACAGTCATTTACAACTCTGAACAATTTCAAGTTTACCTTCTAAACACAATACCAGGCTTCAGCATCTTTGCTGCAGCCAGAGCACATAATCAACCCATCCTGGCCAGTCGTTTCCTTTTGACATCCATGCTAATTAATTACCAGTAAATTGAGGCAGTACCAGTTGGATCACACAGCACCAAGACATCAATAAGGTGAAACACACTTGGAGACCAATGGTGTCTGATGATGTACCAGATTAGTCATTTACAAGTAATAGGCGTGTGCTCTGTTGCTGCAGCATCTTGCTATCGTAAGCTTAATTTCAGAGCGTCAAGCCAAGACAATACAAAAGCTAACATTTTTAGCTCTGCTGGTCTATTTATGGTGTCTTACAGCACCAGAGCGAGTTGCTTCCTGTTTTTAGGACTTCACAGTGATAATATTCCTACTACTACTATTGGAATTGCTTGCAATTTTTTAATGTATTATTAAAGGATAGTTAAAAAATAAATAGCACCCACTCACGATCATCATACTGATCTGAGATGTTGCTGGCTTTTATTTTGCAAGCCTGAGATGTGATTGCTAACTTGTTCAAAAATAGAACACAGAGATAAAAATAAAGTAGGAATAAAGTATCAGCTTCCACTTTGTCACAGGACATTAGAATAGCAGAAGGAATTCACGTGTTACAAAATGATCCTGGGGGAAAACATAATAATTGTCACCATAAGTACACAGTTCTAAAGTAGCTGTTGTGCCCTGGGGAAGAGACACTGAAATCCTTTGGACCGTTTTCTGAAAACAGCATCTTCGTGCTTTAAAGCCATTAAGGAAAAGCATGAGAGACCAGATTTAGACTGCCAGCATCTGCACGACTACTTCCAAATACAAAAAAAAAAGGAGAAGATGCTGTATTTGGGAATGCTGAAAGTCAGCAGATTAGAGAATTTGCCTTCAAATGAGCAGAAAATAGGTCTTTGCTTCTAGCACCCAGATAGTTATGTGAGCACTGTAACATCTGACCATGCATTTCAGTGTGCATGGAATACCTGGGGGAGCTTCCCAAGCCTTCAGTCATCTTATCTGCTCACTTAGCCTCGCTGAATGAGTGTTTCTTTTTACTTGTGTTGCTTTTAATAGAGCTCTTTTTTCTCCTGAGGAAACTGAGCTTAAGTCGATGAGCAGGCATTTACAGAAATGTGTCACTAGCTCAGTACTTAACATCAGCTTGGAGCAAGCTCATCTTCTGTCATACACACTCACCAGTGTGTTAGGCCTTTTAAAATGATCTATATACTGAAACAGCCAGATACTTATTTTGTGTGTCAGAAAAGCCTTAATCTCTTCAAATCTCCTTTCTGAAGCTTCCTCATTTTTCAAAAGGCAGATTAATTTTCTAAATCCAAGCTATGCTTCTATCCACTCAGTAAGTATAACAGTGCTTTGCAGCATCTGAAATTTAGGAATGGAAGAATGTCATGATAGTGGTTATTGTTACAGCGACCTGATAGGATTTGATATGTTGGAAGAAGTGTAAATACTTCTAGTTCCTTGAATGCTAAATAACCTGCTGAGGACTCTTGATGCCAATGCTTACTCTCTTTTTGGAATTGGGTCTGATTTACAGAGATGCTGAGCACATCAGTGAAAATCCAAATATATAACTATGAAAAAAATGGCATTCTTTGTTTCTGTGACTGAATTATGTTTGTACACAGACATATTGTGAAGTAGAAAAGACAAAACTTGCTGGGATAAGGCTTTTAGCATCTCTGAAGATGTTACATGAATTCCTACATGAAATTCAAAATCATTGTGTTCACATTTTAGGGAAAATGTACCTGGGTAAGATATGTACAGGAAGTCCAGCCATTCCTACCTTACCTACCAAGACAGGAGTGCTTGTCCAGAAATGATTTAATCACTGATCCGTGAAGTAGCCACCTGCCTAGAGAACTTGTGTGTAAGAATAGCTTCCCCACAGAAATGGAAGCAGTCTAGCAGGAGTACAACTGCTAGGATTTTGACACTGCTGCTGTCACTGCAGGAAAAGCACTTCCTAGTAGGTATGCGATCCAAGTTAATTTCCTCTTTGTGCATCTGGCATCTTTTAAAGAGGGAGAAGGGAGAGTAGGACTGAGCTGACACCAGCAGTGTGAAATCCAGCCTGCTACAGACATCAGGTGAAGGAAGGAAAAAATACTTGATTTGCTCAGGTTTTGCACTGACAGCCTCCTACTGATGTTATTTAAATGGCAAAAATATTAATGCTGGTGGGTTACCTGGGCAGAAACTTCAACTGCACACTGAAGGATGACCGAGGTTGAATGTAACCTGTTTTTGGAAGCAGCTTCATGTGTTTGCTCAATTCTTTGCATACTTCAAACTTCAAATGCAGCGTAGTTTTTGCTCTGCAAACAGATCAGATGAGCTCAAGTGGCATCAAGGGCTACTGGTGCTGCCATCTCGGCAACATTTGCTCTTGCAGTTTGTTCCTCCCTCCCCTTCTTGCATCTCTGCTCTACATTACAATTATAACTACTGCAAGCTTCCTTTGAAAATGAAGGGCAACTGAAACTGCTACAGCAAAATCACACACTTGCATTCTTTTAAGTTAAGTATAGAAAACAAGATTTTGGAATTACTGTAAGTAAACCCAGCTGTATTTCAGGCAAATGTACACAGCTGATTGGAACATAATTATCAAAGTGCAGCGCAGTGATAAGTCAGGTCAGTGGAAAGTCAAAGCCAAATTATTGTGAAATACCAGCTAATTATTTGCTGCTAAAATACATCCTCTCTATCTGAACCAGTAGAAATGACTCGTGCAGTGTTTGAGGCATCTGACTGGTGCTGACTGCAGCACAGAGCCTGCTCAAGGAGAAGGCACAGTCCTCTGGTGAGGCAGGAACTCTGTTCAGTAACGACTGGAGGCAGGCAGAATGTAGCAATGAAAAACTTACTCTGCCTTCTGTCTGAGAAGCAGAAAAATGAAGACCAGCAACTGCTGCGTGGGGCCAAGAATATCTAAACACCGTGTGAGCATCTCCCTGTTTTCTGAATTCTGGCCACACTGCAATAGGGTGATAGCCACAAACCATACCCTGCTTTGGAATTTTATGCCTGTGTGTAGAATTGCCAATCAATTTACAAACATTTCTCTCGTCTTTTTCCTTCTCTTGGACTGGTTTACAAGCTGTCAGTCCAGATGGCCTGCTCTAAATCAACAATTGCAGCGTGAGGTGCTGGGAGCTTGGAAGGATTGCTGACTGTTGACAATCTAAGAGAACTACATAGTAGTTCTTTAAGTCAGTGCAGATTATAACTTGCCAGTGAAATTACTTGTCAAAGTGATTCATATCTGAGAGGATTCTGGTGAAATGCTTTCACCCTTTATGCTGCACATCTATGCTTCCTAATCACTGTATTCTATGTGACCAGAAAGAAAAAAGTTAATGTTTAGTAATGCTACAGAGCTGGCTGGGAGAGCTCAAGTACCAGAGCTATTTACCTAACTTGAAAACTTTCTGATACAAGCAACAGAAAAACTGTAGTGGCCAGTGGAGGAAGAGATCTGCCAGGCATTGCATCTAACGGAATGATTCCATTTATTTACTTTGGCAGATTTTGAGACAGAACATTCTTGCACGTGTGATACTTGAAATTTCAGCACTGGTGACTGTGTAACAGAGACAATTTTTCCTAACAAAGGAGGTGGGGGGGATAAATTGAAAACTTGATTTGCCAAGGTGCTAAGGACAGCATAATACGTATGAAGTGCTTATAATTTAGGGGAAGTTGATAAAGTTTTCTCAGTTAAGAAATTTTGGCCTAAGCAATTTGACAGCTTCTATATTTGGAGCCCTTTGAAATCTTTAGTTTTCATTAGGATAGTTATTTTTCTTCTATGCTTGTAACTTTTATCCCTGGGTTATCTTCACCGAGTAAAACCCCTTACATAACTTGTGCTTCTCATATCTGTAGGCTGAATTTTTGAGATAACAGCTTTACTCATTTCTTTCCAACTGTGAAGAATCTGTGCAGTCTGTAGATCTGGTAAGAGGTTTAGAATGGTTGCCTTCTCCAGAACCAGTCTCCCCCACCCTCCCACAAAACCACCCCAATCTTGTTTAAATAGAATCTAAGATATGCAGATTGGTGAAATAGGAATGCTAAGTGTTTCATAATGTTTGCATTAGGTAAAGATATCCAAGGTAGACCTGAAGGCAATTAGTAGAGTAAGAGTTCACATAATAGAACGTTACAGCAAGAAACGTCTGGGAGTCAAATGGGTGAAATATTGTCCTTCTGTTACAGTGCAAACAGAAGGAATCTTCAGACATTATTGATGCAAACTATGGAAATACATATGTACAAAAAATATCTGGGTAATCAGTATAATTCATAATTTATCACTATCTGGTTACTTTAAAGTATCTGCCACTCCAGTGCAGTTCTTAATTCCTGTATGGCTCAGGAAAGGTTGCATCTTTCCTATGCCATAGGAAATGCAGAAGGACTGACTTGATTTATTCAGCATCACTGCACGTGTCTATGAGACTGGTGACTGACCTTCTCAGAAAGGAACAGTTGGCATGAAGCTGGCTTCCAGATCATTCTGTCAGGAAGTTCTTTGGCTGAATCAATTATACCAAATCAGCACTCAGTTTTAGGCACATTTATCTCCCTAATATTTAGCTTGCAGTTCCCTATGATGAAACTCACTGGGGCTGCTATTCCCTAGGGACTTAACAGCTCTATCACAGAACAGGCACAGCACAAGGAACCTTGTAGGAGTGGAAAGGTGTGTATTAACTCATACACTTCACAACTATTGCTGCTCTTGGGAATCTAGGATAGCAGCATACCCAAGTCTAATTTCCACAGTAGTGTAAACTGGGAGGGCTTGTAATCAGGATGTCCTCCTGGAACACCAAGGCAAAATAAAAAGTGCAAAACTGTTCTTCAGCCTGCTGTGATACCCAGATGTCTCTGGTACAACAGACCCCGAGGTATCGCCTGGTGACTTAAGATCTCATCAGTAGCTGTGGAAGGCAGCTCACCTGCTCTGGATGACAACGCAGTCCTGGTAAAGTCTGTCATACACACAGATTTTTAAATCAATGTTGGGATTGGGCACCCAAACTGGCACGTCAATAGAGACTCCAATGGCACTGAAGTACAGCTGTTAATACAAACCAAGAGTATACTTATCAAGAGTGTACTTATTTTTGTTAGTCTCAAATTGTTACTGATCTAAACAGCTATAACCTACAGCTAAAATATGTACTTGTTAAAGGTACCTTAATTAAACAAAGCTATAGAATTTATAAAATAAAACCTAGATCTTACTGTGTACCAGAACAGAAATGAATTATGTTTTAGTTTGGACTCCTTTCCAGGGAATGTGAAGGAATAACGTGCTGCCCAAGAAATTGGAAATAAGTAGTTGAAGAGTTAAGTGAATGTGCAAGCATTCAGAAAGTCAGGAGACTGCAGCATGTTTATACAAAAGGGCAGTGTGGTGCTATATTCCACATAATGACCTCGAGTCTAAATTTCAGCAGCTACATAGCTCAGACTTGGACAAAAATGATCCTTCCCTGCCAGAGCTGAAAGAAAGGGTACCCACAGGAATGTGCAGTATGCATCTGCAGTTTCTTTTGTAGACTATTCCATCTGTAGACTGTGGGGAGAGCCAAGACTGGCCTACTGAGCTTGGAAGATTTTCTTCCTTTTTCTTTTTTTCTTTTTTTTTTTTTTTTTTTTTTTAAATTTTTTTATTTTTGGCAAGCTTCTGTGAAGTGTTCCCAGGCAGAATTTGGCTTCCAATGAAATGCAGAATTAAAGTATGCTGAAATGGTAACTGAAGTTGTCATCTGTCCCAGCCTTCACACATCAGTTTCACTACTTCGTGCTAAATAATTCCAGTGCTGATATATCAGAAAGAAAATAAACTGCATGGGTTGGGAACAGAAGAAAAGAATTTCAGGTTTATATACAGGACAATAGATGTTTTCCAGCAGGGTGTCTGATAAACAGCTGTGATTTGAGAGAATCTACAGGTTTAACAACCATAGTCCATCAGAAAGAAGGGCCCTGATTTACAAGGCTTCTTACTGTTTATCATAGGTTACCTCATTGTTATTTCTTCTGCCTGTAAACCTATTTGTCCTCTGTCCATTTCACCTGCTTTTAGTACAGGATTTGCACTCCTGTAATTCTTGGTAGAAGCAGAAGCAGAGTTTCAACAGTCTTTGAAGCAAGTCTTACACAAAATCACTCACTGGTTTGCAGTCTGTGTTGTCAAACACAATCACAAACTCTGCCCGTACGTCCCCAGGGATGGATGGCATAAATATAACCTGAAGTTTGACTGAGCTGAAGGGTCCAATTTCACCTTCAGTAACCTAAACAGGAAGTAACACATTTTTAATCAGAACCTCTCTTAGTGTGGTTGGCTACAAAAATGTATGGAAGTGAAGCTGCATGTGCTCATAGTGTACAAGCACACCACTATGCCTAGTTTCTCACTAGACTGAATGAACTGTGACAGGGAAAAATGGATCAGTGGTCTTTACAAGGTTTGTTTTGGGGGAAAAAGCTTGGGATGGTGTGGTTTCACAGGCAGACATGGTCAGAATCTTATTGAGAGAGTTCCTTTTTATTGCAAGACTTTTCTGACAGGTAGATTATGTATTTTACCAAAGAGTTTCCATCATATTGGTGAATAATTCATACTGGTGTAACAAATACATGAAGAAGCTGCTTTGTGCTACCATTCAAAGATCTGCACCGCTGAATTCAGTGCTCTTTCACAGACAGGTAGAACCATAAATACTAAGAACTACTCTCTGAACTCTTATCTCTGCATTATTTAATGTGGCACATTCTTCCTGCCCCGCCTTTCATGTTGTCACTAGATGTTGCATAAAAAAAGGAATGACAGGAGAATAATCAATCTGACAAAAAGAAAAGTGAAATTGTGAGAAATGCGAGTCTCCTCCAGCTCACAGACCCTTTATGGACTGAAGGAAGAGGCAAATATATTATTTCATTTTAAGGACGTAAACTAAATGGTTTTAAACTAAAAGAGAGGAGATTTAGATTAGATGCTGGAGAAATTTTTCACTGAAAGAGTGGTGAGGTGCTGGAACAGGCTGCCCACAGAACTTGTGATGCCCCATCCCTGGAGGTTTTGAGGCCAGGTTGGATGGGCCCTGGGCAGCCTGACTTCAGGCTGATAGAGTGGTTGGCAACCCTGCCCACAGCAGTGCAGGTGGAACTAGATGACCTTTGAGATGCTTTCCAGCCCAAGACATTCTATGGTTCTTTGATTAACTGTAAAAACAGTGGATTCCACTAGGGTTGAAACTGATTATGTACTTCAACATTTGCCAGCAGAGTGAAAGCAATTCACTTGATGTAGGCGGCTTAGACTACTGAAAATCTTGTAGTATTTCAGGGCATTCATTACCTTTCCCAGCATAATTTCAGTTGGTGTTTCTTCAGGTGAGCGTTCCGTTAAATGATGTGCATTGTTTGTGTCTTTATCTGAACTGAGATTGAATGCATCTTGAGCAAGTTGTTCTGAAAGAAAAAAACAACACTAACAGACCCACAAAATGCTGGATGTGTGCATCAAAAAGAGCAGCAAGCAAAAAAAAAGCCTGAAAATGGCTGAGGGTGGAAGAGACCTCTGGAGATGATGTGACCTAAATCCCCCTGCTCATCGCACAGCGCTGTGAGCATGCAGGTCTTCAATAGCTCCAGAGGAGGTAACTCCACGACCTCTCTGGTCTGTAAAAAGATTGAGAGATAAGTAATTCTGTGGAGGCAGGTACAGTGATTCCATTAATCACTTTCACTCCAGAGATTCCAGGGAAAAAAAAGAGCCCACCACCTTGTCCAGGACGTTTGGTTTCCTGCGATGGAAATGATCAATATACACAAGAATATTCAACACGTATTTTGAAGAAGTGTTTCTTCTGCAGTATTGGATCTTTTAAAGTACACAGTAAACATTAGGAATGAGAAGGAAGCCTTGTGAGGTTCATCTTTCTGTTTTCTTGTTACTAGAATTAAAGACTATAAAAATAAACCTGTCATGTGGATTTCTCTTCTGAGGGGTGGGAATTTGGTTGCTGAGATAAAAATGATAACTTTTTTGCAGTCTCTGTAAGCTAGTTGGTTTCTCTATTCTTCTGAAGCTGAATTGTTGATCACTAATGAGGATCAAGATTCTCTGTTGATTTTGATATAATGGTGCCAGTACATTATTTTTAGTCTTTTTTTTTTTTTGAGCTCTGGAGGACTTGCAGTTGAGGCAGCATACAAAGAGATGCAACATTGCTACTAGCATGATGAACTACTTAATTTGGTTAAGTCTGGGAAACTTGCACTTGCAGTTTCTCAGAATCAGCTCACCTGTAGAACTTGTCTCAGTCCTCTGCTGCTCCACCTGGGCTACACAGCAGGTTGGTTCTTCACTACCATCAGGACAAATTTGTTCTTTCTTTTCAAGCACAGATGTTACGGAACTATTGTTATCTTTCCTCTCAGGAGCAGAGTCACTGCATGGTTGAGTAACCTAATAAAAATATTTGGGAAAAAGTAATTTCTACTGATCTGATCACTTTGATCACTGAGCTTGTATCCAGCTCCAACTTCATCAAGGAGCTGCAAATGAGATGTGTTTTCTTGTAACTGTTTCACGTTATAAATGGGATTAATTTAGGGTGATGCTGTTGAACCTACTGTTCTGGTAGCAGAAGATCCTGCTGTTGCTCCACATCTACTGCTGTCACCTGCTGATGTCTGAACCTTGAATCTTGTTCCCAAAGCTCCAGTGTTTGTCAGGCTGACAGTTTGTGAAATTGTCTCTCCCACCACTTGAGTGCCAAAGTCAACAAGATCTTTATCTAGTGCCAGCTGTGAGAAGAGAAACCAATAATTACTACTGTCCTAGATAGTCAGTGATGTCCATCAAATGAGCGTGCACTTTTTCAAGAACAGGACTTTCAAGTTCTCAATTCAAAGACAGTGTCCAATAATTGCCAGCTGTGGGCGCTCTCCTGCCTACCTCTTGGTAAATATTTGCAATAACGTTTATGCTGTCTTGCATTTTCTGCTGTTACTCTGACTTTAAACAGTCACTTACAATGCACGTCTTGGCTGTACATTTCAGTGGAACTGAGAAGGATCCTGTTTGGGCCATAAACATGACTTCTCCTTCCAGATTTTCATTTACCTAAAAAACAAACACAATCCCCCCAGCCACGTCATTGGCAAAGATTCAGCCTATTTGACAAAGTTACCACTGAGGTGCACTTACCACAGGCTTAAAGGTTACCCCCACTTCACAGGACATTCCAGCAGACATTTTACCAGGCGGGTCAAACCTGTGTAGAGAAGCAGCATAAAACTCCCAGTTAAAGACATGTGTGAATGCATGAAACCCCCTGTTCTGATTCTGGTAGGAACAGCAAAGAATATTTATATATTTTTCCATTTAGATTAATTTATTTATCTGGAAAGTCAGAATGAGGGACAGATTCAGGAAAAGCCACAGAACCCCGGTGCAACTGTAAAACAACAAAGATTGATTTGTTGAGGTTTTATTCAGAAAGTCTTGCAATATTTTTAAGAGGAAAGAATTCGTGTTCACTTCATAAACAAGGCAACTGGTGGAGCTGTGGCTCAATAACATGGTTAAAATGGAGTGGACCGATCACCTGCTCTAACACCTGGGAAGCAGTCTGCCATTATCAGTTTTTACCATGGATCTGTAACATCCCACTATCCAAATAGAAACGAAGAGGAAAAAAGAAGGTTGCTGCAATTGATCAGAGAACGTGCTGCTTGCTGCAAGCTGTATCAAAATCATCTTGAATAGAAACTGCCAGTCACTTCAATGCCTCATTTCATGGTGTCTGTGATGCAAACAAAATGCCCATCAGAAGACAAGAAGTCTCACAGCTGCACTCCAAATGAAATTACTGAGGCACAACTAGAGCCCTATTCTGCCTGACAAAAACAGGCTAGACAAAATACACGACTGAATGTTATTAGCCAGGGGGATACCTAGGAAGCTGGGCCCCACTGTAACACAGAACATGTGCATTAATCACAGTTTTATCAAAACAGAATTAAAAATCAACAAAGATGAAACATTTTCAAACTGAAATGGAGAAGGAAATACTTTTCAGAAAACACGAGCTCAGAATGCGAGTAGCAAATGAGCTTCAGTACACTGAGCTTCAGAGCAGGTCACTGGCAGCTTCTCCTAAGAAGGGCCTGAAGGAATAGCTCCTATTTCCAGTAATACCTCAAAGAAGTACTGGCACTGTGTGTACACTGCTTTTCCCATACTAGGGACTGGGCCCTTGCTGTCACCACTACATAAACCAATGATGTGCAGCTCAAAGTCTTCAAGTTTCTTTTCTGCTCTAAGACACTTCCTTTCCTCATTATAAAAGAATGCAATACAATAGTTCAGATGTATCTAATGAAAATTGTTTAATTTTACTATAGAACTGAGTTATGTCTCCTGTTCTGATACAAATGTAAAGCAAGAAACTCATCTACAGATAGTTTTACATACTGAATGCTGATGAAGTCCTTCAGCCATTCACTGATTCCCACTGGTTTGCAGTAGTTAATGCTGTAGGACGCATTTATCAAAACTATCTTCTTTTTGTAGATTTTACCAACATCGAAATCCTTGAAATACCAAACATATCAGGAGGTGTCAATTACAGGAAGCAACATTTACACAAGAAATGACAGAACAAGCAGTTTTGGCACAGCAGTGTACTTTCTGACAGTGTGCTTGTTAATTACAACGCAGGGATAAACTGATAAGCTCACTTTCTTCCCAATGTAAGTATAATATTATAGTCATTTGCAGGCTGGAATCTTTACTGAAAATTTTCCTCCTCTCCTGCTACTTGGGAGCAGAGGGTGAGTGAGGGGTTCTGTGGCCCTTAGCTGTCTGTTAGTGCTAACCCACAGCAGCCAACAAGGATCTTTTCGGTGCCACAGCATTTTGATCAAGACATCAGTATACGAGTGTAGCAGAAACATCCATCATCTTTACAGACCTGTGTGCAGTGACCACTAACCTTGAAATGAACACAACTTGGTTTAGTATAGAAAGTTCGTCCTTGCTGTTCATGACCAGACACTGTTCCCTTATGAAAAATTCTAGTTTGGAATTCCTCCTTCTTTTCCTGTAAAGTCTCTGTTTTCGTTGTCCTTGTAGCCAGATGCTTTGTATCAATTTCCTCTTTGGATATCTAACAGGGAACATCGATAAAAAACACGGTGGCAGTAAATCACTGTGATCACAGGATCTCCAGAACAAAGTAGAAATGCCTACGGATATAGAATAGAATCTCAGTCTCTGGCCAACCTTCATTATTCTCCAGATTAAACTCAGCCTCCCAACTTCTATGTGAACAAATCAGTTTGTTCTCCCTACAACCATCCAGCATTAGAAGATTCTGTTTTCATGGCAGTGAAGGGGTTACATTCCACTTCTTGAGCAACCATTTAGAGAAAATCAGCTAACTTCACTAACATTTGTTATGGTCCAGTGCTTCTTTCATACAGCACATGATATTTACTGACACACTGCTTTCTGACTGATTCTCAAGTCTGCTTTTAAAGGCCTACATCTGAAAAAAGTAGAGTATGGGAGCATACTTTGGAATAGCATGCACGATCTTAGCCATACAATTCCTGGGCATTATTTACTTCTTTACAGAGTACAGAATATTTGATAAAAATTATGCTTTACTGTGTCTAATTTGGGACAAAATAAAGCAATCCACATAAAGCAATCTGTGTTTCCAACACAACAAAAAGTCATGTTCAGCTTTCTCAGGGTTTTGTGTTTTTAACTCAAACAAACAAGTGAACACGATGCGATGTGTCTTCACATATCTCCAAACTACAATTGAAGTTTTGTTTTCTCCTGAAGAGAAAACACTGATGACAGAGTCAAACAACAATTACCCTCTGATATTCTCACATCTGAATCTCTGTATCTATGCAGTAATGACATGTTAACTGCAGAATAGATAATTGGTGATTTTAAGCTGCATTCACAGAACAGCACCTGCCAGTGTCATTTCTTCAGATACGTACAACTACTAGAGAGGGAACCGAAACTTTTCCAATCCATTTAGAGACTTTCATGAATAATTCCAGAACATTATAGACTTCAATGTAACAACAGGACAAATACACATATCCACATATTTTTTTTTCCTATTTTTAAGAGGAATCATCACAGATTTTACCTTGTGCAAGTCACATTCCTGATTCAATAGTTCTGGGAGCTCTGGTTCTGCTGGGATCTTATCCCTCTCCTCCTCATCCTCATCACTTTCACAGAGCACATCGTGGGGGACGTTTTCAGAACACTTTCCTACAGAAGCAGTTCTCTCACCAGCTGGGGAACAAACTGATGGAGAGCACCACGACTTCTGTGAGAGAAAATAAATTTGGAAATTTGAAATTACTGGAGGGCAGATGCATGAGCAGTTAACAGTTTCCAAGGATATCTTTTAATACAGAGTGACTGGTCTATAAAGCTGCAAGGCTGAAGATGACAGCTTAAGCCAATCCCTTCTTCAAATGACAACTCAGACAATATTGCAGTAATGAGCACCTATAGGATGATAACTGTATTCCATAGGAGGGTGGGCTTGTGAATAGTGACTGTGTACATTTTTGGGTTTTGTACATTTTTTTGTCATATCTACTGCATGATGACCAAGGACTTTCTTGCTTTGTTATGTTATGACTATTTGCACAAACCTTCTCTCCCTTTCTTTAAATACCTAAGGATTGCAGGCAGACACAGGCTTCCTCGAGGGATTCAGTTCATCCCACCTCTCCTTTCCAGGCAAGTACTGCCTGTAATATTGTGCAGATCAATTAAAACAAAACAAATACATGAAAGAAACCCAAACAAATCTGTTGTCATGAAAACACTGTGTTCTCCATTCTGATATGTTGAAAACATTTCTCTTGTGCTGACAGTCTGATCCGAATCCTTACTTGGGGTTGAAGGTAATTTTATTGCTCTTGGGGTCAGTTGTGATTCATGTGTCTTACAGTGTACATTACAATGTACACTTCTTACAAATACCCTTAAAAATACAAATGGAAACAAAAAAACATCCGTACCAAGCAGCAACTGTCCTGAATGAAAGTACCAACCATCAAAAATAGGGAGACTAATGGTCGTCAAGAGATCTGACGGGCTGATGGAGGTGTGACTCTCCACTAGCTGCACTATCTGGTGTTTGGCTGCAGCCCGTGCTGTTCAGAGGTACAGCCAAAATTCACTTTCCTACAGCTTCAATAGAAAATAAACCTAGAGATGTTTCTGTTTGTTTACCTGTGGTGCCCCAGCTGGATGTTTGCAGGTCTTCTCAATGTAGCGCCATGTTTTCTTTCTCCACAGTAAAGAATCTGTACATTTACCACCACTCTTAATTGCCTTAGTACAGGACTGCTGATTTTTCTGCTTGAAAATGGAAGCTTTTTCTTGCAGAATTTTAGATACAATCTCAATTTTTCTTGATTTTTGTTGCTCTCTAAAAGCTCTGTAAGGAGATGTTATAAGAAATGTTAAACCAAGTTGTTCATTAATGACATTACAGAGCATTTTTTGAGCCTTTAAGCTCAACGTCAAGTCTTCAAATTGAGAGCAGCAGTAATTTGTGTCAAGACACAATGGGATTCAGAGGGCAAGTATATTTAGACTAAACATATTCCATTTGAGTGTTTTAGAAGTTGATGACAGTTGGCTATCTGAAATCAAGTAGGTTGTAAAAAAGCAAAAAAGGATTAAAGTTAAGGCCACACGTAATGAACATGAAAGGTAAAATTCAGAGCTACAGTTCTGTGATGCATTGGGCAGATCATTCAGTCTCAGTTTTAATACTGGCAGTTTAATACACAATTTTTCTGCAACAGACATTACCCGTGCTAATGATCCTTTCTGATACAGAAATCTTTATTTTCACCTTTTCAAATAATTCATATCACTCCTGATTCTAAATAGGAGAGAAGATATTGTCACCTTTCTTATTTAAATACAGGCTATTGCCCACTGAAGCACTTCAGTGGCTTAGTGTAGCCTCATGATACGCCACCACAGCAAATGAATGGCACTGTATTTATATTTTGGGAAAACCAAGGCACAGGGCAGTTACAAAATGTAGGAATGGTACACTGACTCCCAGTGCTACCTGCTCCAGGTATAAAGCCATCCTTTGCTCCTATTACTAGTTCTTGACTTTTTCATTCTACTCATAGGCAATGTACAAACGAAGTTAGAGGCTTTAATGACTAAAGAGTTAATTTTTTGCAGGCAATTCAGAAAGATTTATTCAGGCTAAAATGTGCTCTGAGAAAACAGAGAGTATCCCTTCACATAAAGGGAGAAAGGTGGAGCCCTGGGGGGGTAATTCAGCAGTTCCTCAGGCGCCTGGTGGAGCGGTACTGAAATTAGAAAAGAACTGCTGTGAAAGTGCAGTCGTGTCACAGCTAACATTAAGACTAACAAACTGCCTCCCTTGTGCCTGCAAAGGGAAACAGTGAGAGGGAGAAGGCAAGCAAGGAGAAAGAAAGAGGCAAAAAGGGTCAACTTCTAAAAGTTAGATATTTCCTGCAGATCTCTACCAACTGGTTATTCTATTAACGGGATTTTTAGAATGCTGTCAGTGAGAGTTGTATTATGCAGCTATCAAGGGTGAAGCATTATTTATCAAAACTGATTGAATCTTTATATATACTGATATATACTGATTGAATCTTGCTATCGGTTAGAAGAGCCAGCATGCAGAAACGCATACCTCAACCGCCTTCCGTTTAACACCTTGACTCAGATTCATCTTCGTACGTGGTTAGAAACAATAATTAACTGCACCAGAGTAGAGATACAGGCACAGCTCTGTCCATATCAAAGCAGCAGGAAGGAGACTGCACTGTTGCTGCTGTAACTGCACTGCAGTTTTCTATATGCACAGAGAGTGTTGAGGAAATGCAGGAGCGCTGCTACTTCGAGCATCAGGTTTAGGTTTACTGAATTGCCCTCCTGGGGTGGTTTATCCTCCTTGCAGAAATCAGAACACAGGCTCCAAACTTTGGTTCTCTGAATAATACATAAGCTAGAATTTCAAGTCACTTAAAACTGGCTGTATGAATTTCACACTTCCAGAGTATAAGAATGAGGTCACTCTCTTGAGACAGCACCATATATGTTATGCTTTCGGAATCCAATGAAGAGATCCAAAATACTCCTGCATGAACACCAGTGAGCAATGAGAGCACAATATAAAAACAAATACTTACTCTTTCTCCTTTTCATGCTGCAGCAGACGTTTATGGAGTAAAATTTCCTTGGCAACATTGCCTCCTTCTGCCAGGATAGCATCCCTCATTGTCATCTCCTGTTTCTTTGCCTCAGAGACCACTGCTTGGTTCCAAGCCTGGAGAGCCTGGAGTTTTTCCTATGGAGCCAAACAAACCACAGCTTCGTATTTGATTCACGCATTAAAGAAAATGGAAGAGGGACTCTGGTCTCCTTATCTAATTTGTGGTAGCTTTACCTGAAATACAGCTCACTGTCTTTAATATACACAACAGTCAAGCAAGTTGTCAGTAGTTTGTGTGTGCTGGAGATGCCAGAAGCTCTGACAAGTCAGCACTAATTCTTTCCCCTTCTAGTTTTTCTCCAAAATATTCTTCAGTGAAGCAATGTTTACAGAATATTTACAGCTCTCATCAGATCAGTATTAAATTAAAATCATTGCCTCATATTCTACAGAACACAAACAGATGAGGGAAGTAGCTTACCTGAGAAATTCTTACTTTACATTATTTAGACACTTAAGTAACTGCTTTTTTCTATGTGTTTTCTCCACATGAAGTATTTCTCATTTTGACATCTAAATAACTGGAAATACTTCAGCCATATTTTTGGAGGATTGCTTGTAGTGTGCACTGCTTTCAAGAAAGCTACCATGCCATAGCAGCTAGAATGTGCACAAAAAGCTCCTTAAGGAGAAGTGTCAAAAATCTGTCCATACAAATCTAATACCATTATGTCCTGTAGTTAGATTCTCCTCCATTTAAAAAGAGATTTGCTCTACGGAATGGCAGCATCACACAGCCATTCTGCAGTGAAAACTGGAATTACTTTCACTAAAAGCTAGCAGTAGCAATCTAACAAGTCAATTTCTTCATTCCCCAGCTCAGCCACAGCAGCAGTACCCTATTGGAAGTTATGCTGTTTTTCAGGGAGAGCACAGCTTGTATCCTTCTCTCCATATGCTCCTGAGTTTTCGCTTCTTCCTTTGCATTCTTCTCATGAATTCTGTAAGCACAGTGAAATCTTTCAGCTTATATCCTGGAAAGCTTTTAGTATTTGAATGTTTAACCAGACAAACAGTAATTGTGTAAAGTCACCTAACATCTCCTGCATGTCTCTGTTCACAGTAATACTGGGTGGGTGAGGTAGAACTGTTCAGAAAGCCTTCTACATACAGTACCTCTGATTACATGTGTGCCCACAGCTTCCAACCAGTTTGCTCAACAACTTTCTTTTGTACGTTTCGAACTCAGAAATGCATTTCACATTATTTGTTTAGTTGCTAAAATAAAGTAAGAATTCATATGTTGATCATGAAATTGATATCTAGACAATGACATGCTGAACTTGAGACAAGCAAACCACACTGAAAACAAACCCCAGAAATTCAAAAACCTTGAAACATGTTTGAGCATGAATCAAGTCTGTGAGTATCCCAGTTAATATAGTGGTGAACTGAAAAAAAAAGCCAGTAAGATACTGAGCAAAAAAGATCAACTGATTTGGTTCAGTTTGTTAATTTTAATTACTGTTAAGTTTGTACATGTTATCTAAGGAAAAACATAAAACACCATAAAAGCAGTACAATTATTTCAATCACTTTTTCAATTAAGTCCTAACATACAAGTAAAAGTAACAAATGCTCAGTTCCTTGAGTAACAAAATAATTTAATATCACAGTAATTGTATGAACATGGAGTTAGGAAGGCAATACTCATTTTACCACCCACCATAAGAGAACAGGAGCACACAGAAATGCCCTCTTGAGTCACTGTCACCAGACAGCAAGAAGGCTGTTTTACTGCATCTCAGAGGTAATGCAGAAAGGCCAGTTTCCAACCTGGAATTCAGCTGTGCTATCTCACACATATAGGGAAGAGCTGTAAATGACTATCAGTGCCTACACGTGGTCAGAGCTCTGTGCAGCCCATCAAAGAATGGTCCCTTCAGCTGCAAGGAATCTGAAGACAGGAGGTGGATTTTCTTTTTTCATGCACTTTTGTGCCAAGTAAAATTTGAGAGCTTCAGAGCATTGGCATTGTAGCAGATTTCCCAGTGCAATACCAGGACATAATCTAGCAGAAAAATGATTACTTTTCAAAGAGTACAGGATAGAGCACTGCATACTGAGAATGTACAGTGCTGGGAAATAAAACAGGAGCTAATGATTACCTTGCCATGCTTTTTCTCAGGAAGTAGACTGCTTTTTTGTGGTTCCTTTTGGCATCTTCAAGCATTTTTTTACGCCTTTTTTCGTATCCTTTCTGGGCTTTCTCTTCTTTTCTGTGAAAGACAGGCAAGCCAACAGCACTAAGGAAATGATTATCTATGGTTTAACTAAGGAAATGATATCGAATGGTGGGGAGGGAGTGTATCTGTATGTCTTGAAATGGGGACAGTATTTTCTCCCCCCCCATACAGTCTCTTGTCTTCACAAAAGCTACAAACTGATAACCTGGGATCCTTTTTCTCTCCAAGTTTCAATGAGAAGATCCTCAGAATGTCCTGGCACCCAGCAGCAATGCAGACACGTGCACTTAGTCTGACCTGATACATTTAAATTCCTTAGACAAAAAGCATTCACAGTTTTTGTCTTTAGTAAGTTAATCATGTCAGAAATCCTTATCTGAACAGTGACAAGACTGGGGGAAATTCTTACTTTAATTCTATTTCCTCACACAAATATTTCAGAGCCAAAATCCAGCTCGGAAATACAATACCATGATTACTTCCATTAGCTAATCTTCTCAACACAGGAAATAATGAATTGGCTACAAGTGACAGAGGGAAAGGAAACAGAGCCCCACTTACTTTTTTAAAGACAGCTGATTTTCTTCTGCTTTCAGTGCTGCTATTTTTTCCTTCCGAATCCGCACTTCTGCTTGGTCCTGGTATTGCATCTCTAGCTCCTCCTCATCTTTTTGAAGTTGTTTGTGGAGGATTTCATATTTTCCCTGCTGGGTTTCTATCTGCCACATCTCAAGCCTTTAAAACAAAGTGTGAGCTGCTTTCACAACCGAGGCATAAATTAGAAGTATTTATGCTTATTCATTGCTATTGTAGATGGGTCTACTCTAGTCCATCCTATTTTCCAATTAAACTGGGACTTAAATTTCATTTATTGGTGCAAAATTAACTCAGGATCTGAGCCACAGCAACCAATTTCCCAAGCAATTAATTGTTTAGGCTAAAAGTTGCTCTCAAGATCCTTTGCTTTGCAGTAAACCATAGCAGTCCTCAAATTACGTAGTTCAATATTTACTAACAGTTTCTGCAGAGATTAACTTTGAGATCCATTAAACAGCACAGGAAGAAAATAATAAAGACTGACTCCCATCACACAGTTTTCTCATTCCATCACTTACATGTTTTCTTTCAGTGTCAAAGCAATTTTCAGCTCCAAATTCTTCTCACCCTCCAGCTCAGTGCACAGTCGCCTATGCATTGCCTGTAGGCGGAACACGGCTGGGCTGGTGCATAAGAAAGAGACAATTAGAAAGAAATTGGAACTAATTAACGTTAAAAAAAATCAAAAACTCCTTCCAAACAAAGTCAGCAACAATAAATAATAGCTTGGGGGGTGAGAGTTATGTATTAGAATGACATCAATTTATACAGAGTCTCTTATTCAGCTCCCTAAGTGCCCATTTGTTGGTCAGCGGTGCAGCTCTCTATGAACTGCTACAAATTTGTCAATACTTACACAGGAGTGTTTGCTTTCAAAGCACTGGCAGGTGGCTCCAAGTGATTATTTCTTACACTGATAAAAGAAGCATTAGTAAGTATAAGCAAACCTAGAGAACCTGGATTGATTTCACCTTTAGAACGGCACTACAATACCCCGTGCACTTTGGCTACAGCAGCAGTGTAACAACGCAGCTCTTTATTTTCCCTGGGCTTCTCTACCCAGGAAAATGACTGCACAGCACACTGCAGAATCAATAGGCAACAGATGGAATTTATTCAACATAAATTCCATCTTTGGAAGTGAAAATTGGAAATGGATCTTCTACCTGAAGTTATTACTTGGATTTCACAATTTTTGTAAGGCTTCAATACTGCTTGTGGCAGACAGTATTTTCATTATTGCTATAAAGTGATGCACTTGAGCTTTGTAAGCCAGGAACTTATCAAGTCTTCACTATTAATTTGCTAAATATAATAGACTGTGAAAATTGCTATTTTCCACATTTCTAGACCTCACAATTTGACTTGTCATAAGTATAAAAACCTCACACAATGCCTTTCTGTCTTTGTTGGTTTTTCTTAATAAGAGTCTCTCTAAGATCCTGAACAGGGAGTCTAATACCTGCCACAGAAGTCTGATTAGCATTAAACTCATTTTTGTTTAATCAGTTATTCTACTTTGGCAATTAACCCACCTGGGTTATTCTGTCATTTGCTGATGCACCAAGATTCTTCTTACTGAAGAATAACACAGGTCATAAAATGCAGCTGCAAAGTTTGTTCACAATGCATTGGCTCCTGGTACACAAGCCACCCACTTCTTTCTATTTAAACCAAATGTGAGGAGTACAGTAAATTGCCTCCCACTTCCTCACAAGTGTTTCAGAACAGCTCCTGCATGCAGAGCTGCTCCTGAAAGGCATTGGTGCATTTCACAACATAAAACAATTAATAAAAAAAAAGCATACATATAAATCCTGGTTGTAATTGTTAGGAAAAAAGCATCACCTCCAAAACTGACACGGCACACCGGTGTTGGTTGATCATAATGAACAGAATTTACTGGGGGACTGATAAACATAACTGACAGCAGTGAGCTAGGCTGACTAATAACTTGTTGTTGCTGGATGCTCCTTTAGAAATATGCCTCTTTCCTATCCATTCCTAAGTCTCCACCTCCTTCTGCACTTTGATTTAACTGACAGAACCCCAGGCCTGAAAGCACAGAGGTCAGGGGTGTCCATGCTAACAAACCATTATTTATTTCAAGGGGAAAAGCTGTTGCTGAAAATCCCAAACCACGTGAAAAGCAACTGCAGCGTTAGCATTCACCAAGACAGAAAGGAAAGCTTTGCTCTGATCAAGCAGAACAGCACTCCTGTCAGAACAGCCTTCCAAGCTGTGGCTGTTCTCAGCATAAGATGTAACTCCATTGGGTTTCATTGACCTTTGAACATCTTCAATGCGTGTGCTGAAAAATTCTGCTCACTATCAACAACACGGCAAGGTGAAAAAAGTAAACGCATTAATTACACCCAGATAAACACAGTGGATGCCTGTATCTTTGGCACCCAGAAATATTCTCTACCTACACATTGCCAGCCTCCTTCTCCTCCTCTGTCTCAATGTCTACGTTCACCAGCTGCTTTTCTAGTGTTGCGATCCGCAGCTGGCAGGCACTCAGCTCATCTCTGAAACAAATAAACACATCATTTACATTTTAAGTTCCCTCAACCATGAAACTTTTCCTTCTGAAGGAGAAGATTGTTGGGATTCCTCAAACACCCCACCTCCCCACCGCTTTTTCTCTAAGACTTTACAACGAGGTTCTTAAGAAGCCCATGTTTATTTCGAGTATTTTCTCTAAAAATCCAGAAAAGTAACCATAGTTCAGTCTGACTTCATCCACGTTATCAAAGAAAAAGAAAGCAGCATTTTTAACACTATTGCTCTATGGATCCATCTTCTGCTAGAGAAAGTCCTTTTATCTGATGTATGGGAACTGCTGAACTGATTGATCACCTGGGATGACCTGGGAGCACAGGTGCAGGCAATTCACCTGTGCTGCTGGAAGGGGTGGAGCCTGGCTGCATCTCTCCTCAACCCATTTAAGAGCTGACTAGGAGGGAGGAAGGGTCTCTTCCTGGAGATCCCTCCTTTGGATCTTTACAGTGAGCCCAGGACAAGGGTGAGCACTCTGTCTATTCCCTTTTTGGTGTTGTATTCTGCTTAGTAAACTTTCTGGTTTATTTTGTGATTATAGCATCTGTGTGTTCATTGATTATGCACCTTAGCACAGCAAACTGCTCATAGCAGGTGCATGTTTTGAAGTTTGCAGCTGACTTCACTGACTGCAGTGTAACATTTCCATTGCAGTTAAGAAAATATTTATAATGATTTTCCATTCAATTTTTCTAACTGATTGTTGAACCAATGCCAATATAACTGAGAGGAATTAGTGTCTAATTATTCCAGACCAGCACTCTATTCTTTAGCATTGTTATTAGTGTTTTAGCTTTCCATTTTTATCTGTAATCCTTTACAAGGGACTTGGAATGTATTGGATTCATCAAATCCAGCAGGTGTTGGCATCACATAACTCTCATGACAAATCCATACATGCTATAAACATGTAACAGGTACAGCATCCCAGTATTTGATGGTGCATTTATGGTGATGGCCTTTGTTTCCTTCAACACTGACCTGGTTTTCTGGACCACAAGTTCCTTTTCTTTGGCAATGTAGCTGAGCTCTTTTAGGTTCCTGGGTAAAGCAAATAAGCAAATTCTATCTGCAGACTTCAGAGCCTGACTGCTTGTAATGTTGTCCAGGCAATGTTCCAAACTGTCCCTTTGAATTGAAATAAATGATGAGCATGAAAACACAACAAGAAGTTGAAAAGCTCTGCAAAGTTTGCACAATCATTTATGCATTTGTGAGTGCATTTTGGTTTAACTCATTCCAGCAAAATGCTGTGAATGTCAGCAGTGTAAGTCAGGAAAAAGCAATGGTAATCTGTACAGAAATCTTAAGTACATGCATTTAAGCCAAGATTTTTAATCTTAAGTATCTAATACTGTTTGTACTCACATTTATTGCTGCAATATCTTTACCAGATACCTTTGGTTTTAAATGTCTGAGCCTCTTGATCACACCCATGGTTTTCAGGTTTTACTTTTCCTGAACATTACTTTAAAACTGAAGGGAACATTCTAAACTAGTTTAAAACATTGTGTAGAACTGTTCATCTTGAGTGAGCTCTCTTACTTTTTAGTCTATTTAAACATACAGAGAGAAGAAATCAGAAGATGGGTGGTGGTGTTATTTGGTGATTTTTTTGTTGGCTTTTTTAATCACTTTGGTGTATTTTGAGTTTCTCTGCTGATAATGGTAACACTGTCAACATTTACTGGCAGCAGGCATATGTGCTATGCAACTTCCCACATACATATGTTAATAAACAGTGTTCCAGCTTTTCATCATGCCTTGCAACCCTGTGTCAGGACACTGCAGGGCACAGATCAGCAGTCAGTCAAACAGGCCAAACTGTGCTTTCTCATTTGTGAAGAGAGAAGCAGCTACTTAAAGCCCCATTCAAACCACTGAATTATTTTCCATGCATGACCTTTGCTACATGCAAATTTATTTCTCCAGGAATAAATTCACTCTACCACCTACTTGTAAAACCAAAGTAGTACCAGGCTATCATCACACCAGTTCTGTGCTAATCGACTGTATGCAGTGGTACAAAACTCTATTCAGAAACCTACAATCCAACACTGCTATTATTCCCTTCTTCCACTAATTCCTGTTGCTCTGTAAGTACAGAGGGATTTGAACGTAACACAGCACATTATCACAGAGCATTGGCTGGCTTTGCTTGGTGTAGCACCACCCAGGCTAATAAATGCTCTTTTGAGGTCTGATAAGCCCACATGAATGTGGTGCAACTACGTGTTGTATGTATGCATATTGCCTAGGGCTCACCTGACAGAAAACGTGTAACTGAGTTACCAAGCCTCATCTTGAAAAGGTAAATCACCACTACAAAGGAAGTCATTACTGGAGCTGCTAACAAAGCCATGAATTATTTACCTGCTATGTTCAGACTTGTCTCCAGCTTCTTCAGAAGTGACCTCGTTCCCCATCTTGCCACCGTCAGACAAATCTTCCTCAAGCTTGTATTCTAATAGAAATTAAAACTCCAGTTTACTGGAGAGACTTTGAGCTTCAAAATGCAGAGCACTAACTTACCTGCTGCCAAGTCAAAGTATGTGGAGGATCAGAGATTACATTTTATAGCATTACTGCAGTGTTTATTAAAATCAGCCACACAAGGCTGCTGCTGTACATCTGGAAACCAAAGCAGGAAAATGCCAACAGCCTGCAGTGTGTTCACATTACACTAACACCCTTCTCTGCACCTCATTACTCAAGCCTGCAGTGAGGATGGAATCCTATAAGTATTCATTAAGCATTATTCAATGTGAATTATGTATGCATTATTGTGTATTTGGGTAATAAGGAAAATGACAGTAAGAAAATAACCTAAGTACAGCTTTTTAATGCAGAGGTCAGTATTCAGCACTAAATGATGCATGGCAATGTTAAACAGTAGATCAGTTGACTCATGATGTAACTGAGCATGTGTTCTGACACAGAAGTCAGTCACCTGCTCATAGGCAGCTGGTGCCATGGGGGATCCAACATGGGGGTGGAAACCTGTGCCCCTCTGCAGGCACAGAGGCCTTCACCAAAGGTGAGCCCCCCCTGGCAGCAGCTGCTGGGGTCTGAGAGGCTGAACTGAGTCCCTACAGTCAAACACTGGATTTCACCATCATTAAGTCTGAGTCAAAATGCTGCACAGATTAAGTAGGGAATTCACTGCTAAAGAAAAAAGAATGGTTTAAGTTTGAAGTAGCTATACCTGTTACAGTGTAATGCTAAGAAGAAAACGATTGGGATTATTTCATTGGTTTGGAATATCACACTGCCCCTAGAACCATACTGTTCCATCATAGACAGGAAGTTAACCCCAGCATTCTGCAAGTTACGGCTGTGGTTTCTCACGTTCACCTTCGTCGTGTTCTTTCAGGTCAGAACTCTGAGCTGCTGCACCGTTTCCTTCCTCTTCCAGAAATGAGATGAGAGTTGGTTCCTCTCCTCCATCCCCGGGCTCACTGCCTGCCATGCCGGCGGTTCCGTCACAGCAAGCGGGCTGACATGGAGACGGCTGAGAGTCGGTGAGTACACAGAGATCTCCAGGAAGCCTTCAAGTTGGTGCCTGTGTCAGGAGATAAATCGGCAGCGTTCGGTGAGCGCTTAAGGTACATGTAGCGACAGGGTGCAGCCACAAATTGAGTGTTAACTTCCACAGATCTCTTGTGGAGAAGTAAGGACGCTGACAAAGCGTTTTTAATATGTATAGTAATTGGCTTATTAATAAAAGAAGCCCAGAAGAAAACATTTTTATCTGGTTAGGGAACGAGAGGTACGTAATGGAGTGCGAAGTATGGGATATACCGAGCTAAACGCCCAGAGCCACCTTAAAGGCAAAGCGGAGCTGCACGAAGAACAAACCCCCCACACGAGCGGTGTGCCCGGAGCATCCCGAGCGCTGCCGAAGCCCCGCGGCCCGGGACGCGGCGGAAGGACCGACGAAAGGACGTCCGGCCGCTGCCCCGGCAACGGAGCGAACCACGCGGCCCCGGGGGAGCGGAGGGACCGCGAGCCGCAGCCGCTGGAGGCGGTCAGCCCGCGTGGGATGCGCCGCGGTGGGTGTGCATGGCTGCTCCACGCTGCTCGGCTCATTTTCAGAGCGACGACATCCCAGGATCAGCCTCGGCAATCAATAAAGACAAGCGTGACCTCTAAGCTTCCTGTGAACGGAACCGGCTTGAGTCAAAAAATAACGGCTAATTGGTACCTTCGTATCAACTGTGAGTGCAGTGCGTGTTGGTGAACCTTTGTCACCAGGGCCAGCGTTCTGCCCTCACGTGCACGTGGGAGAAGCCATCGGCAGTCCCTGTGAAGGTGCCGAGTTACAGTTCCCCAGACAAGCTCCTCTCTCTCGATTCCCATTGCACCCACTGGGAATCTGGATCCACCCCCACTGCAAGCTCCAGGAGGCGTACAGAGGCACTCCCTGATGCCCAGGTCCCGTAGGCACAGCTGTGGGTGATAACGTGTGAGAAGTGAGCACGAATGAATTGAAATCCTACTGCTGAAATCCCAAACTGAGAGGCGTTTTTGTGAAGTTCTGCAGCACCAACTGGGCACCGGAGTGCTGCTGGAGGGCTGGACGCTGCGTGGCTCCATGCTGCTCTTCAGGCAGTCGGTTTTTCCTCCCGAACGTTTCCAAGGTGACAGCAGCTCCTCTATGGAGGTTTCTAGCTGTTTGGCAGCAAGACATGCCAATAATGCAATCTTATTTTTTTCCAGTGCGGCTCAGATTATGTAAAACGATTTCTCCATCTCTGCTCTACAACACAGAGCAACGTCTGAGTGTAAATATCAGCAGAACATCGATGGAAGCCTTACTGAGAGTAACTGCAATGCTGTGCTTGTCCAGTCCTTAAATACCGGCCGTGCATCTCAGAGCTGGGGCTGTAGGACATCCATCCAGTGCGAGGAATCATTTCTGTGCAACCTCTGAAAGAAGCTAAATATTCCCACCATATGATTGCTGCGGATATTTCCAAATCTCATTTATAAAAATAGGCATATGTGTGTAATTTGTGTTTCCAGAGACATTTGGCGACGTTGCCACAACAGTCTTCCACGAGCTGTTCATGTGGAATCGTGGGAGAATTCAGCTAATGATCTGCGGGGTGCATTTCTTGCCTGTAAGACTTGGGTGTGGCGATGCGAGCTCTTGGCATCGCTGGCAGCAGAGCCAGCCATCCCTGTCTGCACGTGGTGTGAAGGAGGCAGCGGCTGTGGCTGCAGCTCTGGGCCTCCGTGAGGACGCTGATCCACCTGAGCTCTGTGTGTGAGGTCAGAAGGCAGAAGCACTCCCAGAAAAGCTGTGCCTGCAGCCATAAGGATGGAGGAGTGATGGCGAGTCAACAGAGTGACAAAAGGCTTAAGGAGAAATGGCTGTTAGGGCCGTCTTTGTGAGACTATTTGACAGTTCTAAGCCAGTACCTAAAGGAAAGCTTCAATTATTTTCAAGAGGATTAGATGAGAAAGATTGAGGGGAGCTTACTTGTTTTGTTTTGATGCTTTAATAGCAATTTTAATTGTTTTTTAATCTCCTTCTTGAGCAATTTTAATCTGCCATTGACTCTAAAGAGTTTGGGATATTCTGCTAGAATTGTAGGAAATTAAATATACATATCATTATTATTTTATCCTCTCTTTTTCCTTTGGCTAATAGGAATTACTCCTGTTGAGTGGGGGTGTAAATCCATATATTTCTCTATATGACAGACTGTTATGCTGAAATTTCTATTTGACTGCAGAATCAACTGAAAACATGGCCCAGTGACCACGCATTGTGTAACAGAGCTGATATAATTGTGGCCCATTGCATCAAATGTGGTGTGCTTGTTTGAAGGAAGTTCCACGTTTATTTTAGGGTTTTGTGCAAACAGGTCTTAGAACATCTCCATTTCTGAAGCACAGACATGCAGTGGTAGCTAAATGAGTCCTGTGGAAATAACCCAGGATTTTGTTAAACCACTGCGCTGTGCTGCTGGGAGATTGGCTGTGTAGGTTCCTCTCATCCATCCAAGTCTCAGCACGAGGCCGGCTCACTCAGTGATGCCAGCAATACACATTCCTGGTCAAGTGAATGGGCATAATCAAAACCCTGATAATACACCTGGATTATCAGAAATTATCCAGAAAGTGATCGCAGTCCTGAAGGCAAACACTTTCCCATCACAATGCCACTGGAGGTTTTGTGAGCAGTCACTTCGCTGCCAGAAGCACAGAGCTTTCTTCACGGACCCCAAGTCAATGGGCACTGGAAGAGCAGTTGTGGAGAAACACAGCAGTGATTTTTCTAGGGGACCACCGTTCTGTTTTCACTTGTTGCAATGGTCAAACTCTTAGCAGTATCTTTCCCTTTAGAGCCTACACTGTTGTGGTTTTCCTACAGGCTCACACAGATATCTACCATTCAAAGTCACTCTGCGTGTCCACAAGTCTACATGTCCATTTTGCTTTTTTAACTGATGTATTCTGGAGGCACAGAAATGTGTGTTCATTTTTTACTGGTAGGTTTGATGACAGCTGTCTAGCCAGAGAAAAGCAGCACCAAGGAATTCTCAGAGTAGGTACACAGCTCACTGAACGTCAGCCTGAGGAGTTGGAGAAAATGTCAACTGAAAATATCCTGAAAGGTGTAAATCTGCTCTGCTTCACAGAGAGACAAAATCTTTCTGTTCTGTATCTCATCCTGTAGGTTCCATTACTGATCTTTTGGTTTCCCTCCTCCAACAAACCAGTTTTTATCCAACAGCCCAGCTGTTAGAGCTGACATGTAGGTCTTGTCCTCCTGGTGTGTTGGGGGCAGGTGTGACCTAATGTGGTGTGCAAAGAAAAGTTCTCAAACAAAACCCCACCTCATTCTTACACATTTCTGATGTGTGTGTGCTGTGTACAACATATAGATGTGCACAGCTCTTCCTCCCAGTCACCTCTGTTGTGGCCCTCAACGAGTCGTGCCTTTGCTGCCATTTAGGTTGATGGTATTCGTCAGTAAGAAAAAGCCAACCCTACAAAAGGGTAAACCAAGCACTTTACAAACCTGGCGGGCATCCTTTCATTTGATTAAAGGATCCACGCGTTCATTTTTGCTTTACAATACAGTTTCTTTAAAATGTCTCCTACACAGTGCTTCCTTTGTGGGTTGGTTTTAAAATTGCCATTATGGACTGAACAGCAGCAAAAAGCAGAGGAGGAGGAGGAGAGAAGAAAAGAGCGAAGATGGAGGAGAAGGTCGCGTCCGACCTTCGGGCTGAACCCGCAGCCCCCGGCAGCGCGGCCGGTGCCGCTCGGTCCCGAAACTCGGCCGGGTTGGGCCGCACAGCGGTGTCAGCTGCCGCCCGCTGAGCTCGGGCGTTCGCTCCGGAGCGCCGAAAGCGCTGAGGCAGAAGTTCGCACAGCCCGGGCTCCGCCGCTTTCGGCGTCGCACCTGCGGTCGGGGACGGCTTTCAAAGAGCGCAGAGATCGCGGCTTCTCCCGTCCCGGGCGCAGCTCCCACCCGCAATCCGCGCCGCTCCGCGGGGAAAGGGCCGGAGCTGCAGCTCAGCGCGGCCGGGGGGGGCGGCGGCGGGGGCGGCTCTACCGCAACCTCCATCCCGCGTGCAGCCCGGGCTCCTCGTTCTCCTCCCGGCGACGATTTGCACGGGACATGCCCGCAGCCTCGGCAGCACTTTTAGTTCTCTTTCTCCCGCGCTGGGTGGGATGGAGCTGTAATTGCAGGGGCTATTTTCGGCAGCCCGCTGAGCGGCCGGGCGGAGGAGGAGCGCGGCGCTGCTGAGCCGATCCCGCTGCCCCCATCCGGATCTCCCGGGCGGGACGGAACCGGCAGGGCGGCCCCGGGCCGGGCGGCACCGAGCGGGGCGCGGGAGCGCAGCGGAGCGGGGCGACGAGACGGCGGGGGCTGTCAACGCTGCCCGGCGGCGATACGGCGCTGAAACTGAGCCTCAACTTGCCGCAGGAAGGATGGCAACACCGGCTGAGCTTCGGAGCTGCCCAAGGAGCCGGGGAGCCTCGGTTTTGTGCGCCGCGGTCTAATACGTGGGAGTAAAATGGAATTTCTCACCTGGGTTTTTCCTGCCTTGGTCCTGCTGTGCACCCAGCAGCACAGGTGCATCAGGTAATCCCTTCCCATTCCCTCCTTTGCTGCCCCGGGGCTGAGGCGGGAACGGGGCGGCACGGACGGGAGGACGCGGCGCGGCCGAGCAGCGGTTTGTTGGGTTAACCGCGGGGCGTGCTTCGAACGGGACGCTTGGGGAAGAGTTCTGCTGGCGGCACGCGCTCTAAATTACGGGCGATCCTTTTGGCGACGGCTCCGCACCGCGCGGTGCAGCCCCGAGCGCCCCAGCAGCCGTTCGGAGCGCGGCGCGCACAGCGGGGCTGCGGCCGGGACGGCGGTCAGCGCTCCTGCGGGCTCCGGGGGAAGGGATGGGGCTGGTGAGCAGCTCAGGAAAAGTTTGAGGAACGCCGTTTTTTTAAATAATAAATTGCAAAGCTGAATGTTTGCGATTCGCAGTCGCAGTCAGTCAGAAGGTGTTAGCTAGGCAACCAGCTATGTTCTCTATATATTCTCTGATCTGGAGGCTGGATTTGGAAAAAGCTTGCCGGATTATGCAATGAAAGCAGAGGGGGAGTTAAAAAGGACTTGCTGCATGCAAAAACATGCCTACATCACCCAGAGCACGCGTGGCTGTGATATTTAAGGGGTCTTCCCACTTCTGTATCAGAGACATCGTTAATAACTTCAGAGCGGTGTACGAACTAACGATGCAGTCATGGCCTTTGGGATTAATTAGCGAGATCTTATCATTCTCCATTGGGAAGGAAAAGGACCTCACATCAGAGGAAGTGTCAGCTGCCCTTGTCCAGGGCTGACACAGTGGTGCATCCCACGACCTTGGCCATGCCTCCAAACCTCCGTGCCCTGCAGCCAGCAGTGTGATGCCGGAGGCAGAGAAGATTTCTTATGACCAAAAGGCATGGAGATCTGGCCCGTCATTTCAGTGATCCCAAACTGTCTGAACTCGGACAAGGACTGAGGATTTCTGTTGAAAAGTAGTGTTTGGATATTAAAAAAAAAAAGAAGCAGTCAGTCTTCTCAGCTTCTGTCTTCGTGATCTGTTTCCAGGCACAGTAACTGCCAGGATATGTGCAACCTGTAATTTTTTAGATAAATTATGCTGGGTTAATTGCCTGTTTCTTGGTTTTCTTCCTGCAGTTCCACAGTGATGTTGTTTGTTAGTGATATACAGACTCACGGCACAGAGCACAGGAAGGCAAAGTCTAGCTTTCGAATTTCGAGCTGTTCAGTTTGCAGTAGTTTTCCAAATATGCCCAAGTGTAAGACATTCAATATTCAAAGAAAGCTGCTCTGTTTAGTACAGCAGTTTTCTGATGATTCAGGGTTTAGCACGGCTATGGCAGAACCTTCTTTAATCCTATAGCAAGTAATCTTGCTTGCAAGTGTCCTTTTGATGAGTTTATTACATGGGATTAAAACAGATTTTTACCTTTGCATCACTAAAATTACTCACATAGGCGGCTTTTGATGCACGAAATAATAATTCTTGGAGGAGCCCAAGCAGCACATTAACTTTCTTATTTTTCCTTATTGGAGTCCTGGCATATGATTTATTGGTTTTAAGGGAGCAGTGCCTTACTGATACCGTGGTTTTATAATAACAGGCTGTGCTATCAAAGATACATTTTTACTGCTCTGATTTTGTTGACTAAACGTGATTTGATTCACGGTTCTGGTGACAGAGGACATCCAAAGGCGCGGAATTCCCTGTGCGATGGGCAGCTGCACAGCTGGGAGCACAGTGTGCAAGAGAAGAGGAATCTCAGAGAATTCCGAACGTGGTGGCACCACATGAGATGTTCCCAAAGGCAGAGCTACCTGTTAAAGGGATGCTGAGGTTTGGCAGAGGAGAGGGGAACGCACACAGCCTGCTTCCTGTGTTTGAGTGCCCTGTGAGAGTGCTTAACAGAGCTGCATTTGGAGCAATTCTCTGTCGTGTGCTGTTTGAATGAGCCTGATTCAACCTCAGTCAGCACATTCTCCTTATGCCAGTGCTGTTTGCAGGTGAACGTTTTTGGAAAAGATTTTGGGTCTGCTTGAGGCATGATAAGTGGCAAGAAATTTGGCATTTCTGATTGCCAGCTCTTTGGGGAAAGGCTGTTTTATCAGAGCTTGGTATGCTGCAATAATAGAAGCCTCATAATGAATCTCTAATTAAAAATAGGTGTGTCTTTCATATTTAGGATCCTACAATATTAAATGGCTTTTATATGTTTGCATACAGTTGTTCTCCTGCAGGGTAACCTCCTCAGTCTTTTACTTCCAGTCATGGAAATGGAGGAGCTTTATCACGTGAATGCATGCAGAGCTGTCTATTTTCTGTCGCTTAAAACTCACAGAGTTTTAGCACTTTGATGGAGCTTTGATGTTCAGAAGGTTGCTGTGAATTAAGCCTAATGCCTTTTCAATTACATTTCAAAATACAGAACATATTTACAGCGAGCCTCACTTAGAGTCAGGAATGGCAGATGGGAAGGATACACACGGTGCCCTGGATAATCCTGGAGCTTGACAGAAGCCAGACTGTTCGCTGACCTTGCTGGAGATTCCTTGTCTTTTTCTCAAGAAAGAAGTTTTCTTGAGTGGTGGTGACATCAGGGCCGTGTGCCCCAGAAGATTATCTCACAGAAAAGGAGATACACTCCACCCCAGTCCTTACTATCAGTCAAACTGATATTTCTATCTTTCAAATCATAAGATCTTTCAGATCATAGCAACTGTGCCACTGTCCCAGGTGGAATCAGTCAGGATAGCAGGCTTAAAGAAGCAGTGGGAGATGCAAAAAGTGATTTTCCTCACCCCACTGCAGTATGTCTTTGCCATAAGGTTACAGCATTCTCCCTACAAGTGTGATCTGAGATGAGTATCTTGTTGGCCACAAGCAGAGATGCTGCTGAGCTTTCTGCACTGCTGCTAGAGCTACTGGCACTGCTGTGCAAAAACAGTATTACTAATGTTGTATCTTACTGAGCCATTGTAATGCACTTATTCACACAGAATATACAGGTTGCCTCTTTCCTTTGTTCAGTTTAAGTACTGATTTTTTTCTAGTAAAGTTGATGAATATCTAGCAACCATTTTCAAGCCGTGTTCCAGAAGGCAGTGAAGACAGGCTAATATCTCACTTGCCTGAAGCCTCTAACAAGACACGCTGTCCAAGTTGACTGATGCTTCTCCAGCTCAGTCCAGATGAATAGAATATCTCAGTCCCATAGCAGCTGGGAGATAGATGTCAGCTTCAAAAGGAAGGATTCTAGTATATATGTATTTTGATTCTAAACTGAGAATACTTAGCTCTAAAGGAGATGAGTTTCTCTGCTCGTTTGAGATCTGCTGCTTAGAGCTGCTTTCCCAACCTGTGACAAGGACAATTCTGTTAGGCAAAGAAGAACTTTGCAGTATTTCCAGGTCTACCAGCAGTGATTTCCTCTGTCCTTTGCCTACTATATAAGGAACTAATTTTTTTCTGCTGTTAACAACCAGCTCTGTGGAACTTCTCACAGTGCTGAAACCCCACATTTGTACGGATGAAAATATATTCCCTGCTTGAAATGAGATGTGTCTAAAGAGTTGAGATAACAACCATCTCCCTCAGCTCCAGATCTGAGAATGCCTTCCCGAGTGCCTTCAGTACACATGAGAATGCTGTTCAGCCACCTGGGATCCGGCTCTGCCCTGGTGCAACGTAAAGATAAGTTTGTTGAGCTGTTACATCCCTTGGATTTTACAAGCCAACAGCTTACTTTTACAAATTCCTTTTCTTACTAAAACAAGTTTGACAGCAGCCTACATTAGGACGCAAATTTGCTAATTCCACTATTAGTGGTTTCCTTTCTTTTAATCCTTACTGCTTACGTTACAAAAAGTTAATCCCTTCCAAAGAATATCTTCTAGCTGGACTTCCTTCTTCAGGTAAAAAACACAAACAATATTTAAGGCCATATGTGATCCCCACTACTTGTGAATGATGAATGAAATTCTCCCACCATCCTTCATGTCACTTTAAAGCACTGGATCTGGGTGCAGTGTAACACTTCTGTGACTCCCACTGGTTTAAGTGCATATAGCTCTACTAACTTCAACAGATTTGTTACACTGATCTGACCTTAAGGCTTTATTAATAATAGAAACCAGATTCTTTTTAATTGTGTCATGGATATTTAAGTAAAACTCCCTCTAGATAGTAATCTGCTTAAAACACTGCAAGCTATGGCCCACAGTTTTTTAACTCAACTCTGTCATTTTAACTTCCTTTTAGCTTTCTGACTCTCCAAAATGCCATTACAAGAGAATACTGACACAGGGTAATTGCTGCACACTGTAAATGCTTTCTGAATAAAAAAGACGAGGCTCCTGGCAGTCCTTAGGATGCCATTACCTCATAGCAAGTGACTGAGCATAGATCAGTTATCTGGGGGTGCACCCGTGTACCTAATGTGAAAAGAAGCATTTATGTGGTTGGTGAGATGTGATACAGAACAAAAGAAACATGACCCCCTCTATTATAAATCTTCAAAGCCTTTGTTTAAATTTTATTCCAAATTATATGGCTCTGATCCTTACTCAGAAGGATATGCCACGATCCTTACTCAGAAGAGCTAGAAGTAATGGCACTGCAGAGCTGAGCGCCCGGACCAGCATGTTTTGGAGAGAAAAACCATGTGCTTTATTTGGGTCAATGTCACATGAACACTCTAAGAAAATTATGTAAGTACCAAGGCAGAATATACTTATGCTGTATTACTCTGCAGTCTTTCGTTGATGTTTAACAAGCTTCTCCTCTGTTACTGGTGACATGGATCTCTCAAATTTACTGCTGGCCTCAGGTGGAGATGCTCAAACAGTGCTCAGACAGCTCTGATTCAGTACCTGCACTCAGATGCCTCTCCCAGCCACTGGCAATTCTTTGCAAACAGTTGTGGCAGACGTTGTCACAGTCCTCTGTTTATCTATTCCTTCTGTGTCAATCACAGCGCTGGCAAGAGGGATTATGTGAGCAGGCGCAGATCTGCTGCAAGTGAAGCCTGCCAGCTCAGTTTCGAAGAGAATTTGAGCTTGCCTTGTTAGTAAGAGATTATGGAATATCTACAGCGTTACTTAAGACTGCAGGGATGCATTTCAATGGTTCGCTGTTTTCACTTTTGAAATTCCTTTTAGTCCATGTCTGTGCATCACACAGGTATCCACACACCTTCTACTTAGCATTGCTTTTTCACTATCTGAGGGCTTTTCACAGCATCAAAGATGTTCAATCCAAATTCCAGTTCAGTAGTTTTTACACTTTTTCTCATCACATTTGAAAAGATCCATCCTTCTTCGGTCCTCACTTTCTCCACTCAATCCAGCTACCCAGATAGCTGCATTTCATGCAGTATACAAAGTATCCTGGTTTTCCTTATGCTTTCCTTGCATTTCTAAAACTCTTCAAGAAAAAAAAAATACTTTTGAAAGTAACTACTTTTATTGCAGACAGGAGCCACAGGATTTCCTGGAATAGGTTTTGATTTAAACAGAAAAATCTGAAATGGTCTTCTACCATAAACAACACTGCTCTTCTGAAGTACCACTCATGCTTACTGGTTTGACTGTCGGTGGTCAGGAAGTAGAAGAGGACAATGTCTCCATTTGCTGTTATTTTCATGTCTGTAAATGTGGGCAAGTTTTAAAAGATTCCAATTCTCTTTACCTAGAGCTATGACTGACATTGGAGATTACATAGGCTCCAACATCGAAATATCCTGGTTACCCAACCTGGATGATCTGATGAAAGGCTACGCACGTAATTTCAGGCCTGGGATTGGAGGTGAGAAACTGAGAGTTATGCCTTTTATTTCTTACGATTATTTTGCCCTCTGATGTTTCTCTGAACTTCATCCTCTGATTCAAGAGTTGTGTTAATCTTATACTTGGATTCTGGAAACAGTAGCAAACAATGTGTTTATTTTGCCATTTGAAACACAAATTAGCACTGCAGCCTTCTTGCTGCTACAGTTCTTAAACCACTGATACCTAAACTGAAGTCATTTTGGCTCACATTGTGGCAATAATTTCTGTTTGCTTGAAGACACAGCGTCTTGTCTGAAATGAGATGTCATGTTTTCTGGGAGAGATCACATAAGTTTCAGTAGTTGTGACTGTATTTCATTTCCTTTATCACTGATTGATTTTATCACTGATACAAAAGTCAACAGCCTTTGGTCATCTCCGTACTCATCTTGCTATGATGTAAATCATGTCATTCAAACTTGTTTTCTCAGGTCCTCCTGTTAACGTTGCTCTTGCAATTGAAGTAGCCAGCATTGACCACATCTCAGAAGTGAACATGGTACGTTGAGTTACACTTAGTTGGGAATGTCTGCAGTGCAGTGACAGCAGGTGCAGAAGGTGAAATAGAGACAGGTGATCCTTTGTGTGTCTGGAGTGGAAAGACTGTCAGAAGATACCACAAAGAACAAACTTTGCATTTTAAGACACAGGCAGATTCTGTTTGGGCAGAAGTTGGCAAGGAAAAGACTCTAGATAGGTGTAAGTCACTGAGACTTCTGCACACTAACAGCCTGATTTTAAGCCTTAGCTCCAACTGCTGTTCACATTCCTTCTCACCACACATACTTCCCTCGAAAAGCTAAGGGGAGCATTGGCTGTGAGATGTGCCTCCTTTCCACATGAAGACCTTTCAGTAAAGCAATGGAATATAACAACTTAGAAATCTCACAACCAACCATTGTATGAATTGATTGCATTCCTGAAACACAACAGATTGAATTTGAAATCCAGAACTTTCCCTCCATCCTTTCCCATTACTACCAATAAAACTTCACCTGATTTTTTTTTTTAGTTTTGCTACAAAAATCCTCCAAAACCAAAGGCAGTGCTTCCAGAGATAAATGAACAGCTTTCCCCAGCACAACAGATGCAATTCCCCTGACATGTATCTGTACCACTGACTCTGAGTAATTCTTTGATACCTTGGGACCACCCAAGGTAAAAGCATACAACAAATTAAAATGCACGGACAGTTCTATGGCAGAGGATAAAAACACCTGTGTGCACAGGGGACATTTCTAAACCAATTCAGTTATTTTGGACCAAGTCCTGAGGCTTTATCCTCTTTGTTTAGCGTCTCTTGCTAACTGGGATTTCCCTGTCACAGGAATACACCATGACAGTATTTCTGCACCAGAGCTGGCGGGACGACCGCCTGTCCTACAACCACACCAATGAGACCCTGGGGCTGGACAGCCGCTTTGTGGACAAGCTCTGGTTGCCAGATACTTTCATAGTGAACGCCAAGTCTGCCTGGTTCCATGACGTGACTGTGGAAAACAAACTGATCAGGCTCCAGCCAGATGGAGTCATCTTATACAGCATAAGGTAAGCAGGGCGGGGGGCCACTGTCCTCTGCCATGTGTTCACCTGCTGAACAGACCATAAAAGTAATCGCTCTTTTTTTTTTCTTAAAATAATTATTAATTTAAATCAAAGAAAATGTTTTTCTCTTGTTAATGTTATGTTAGTGCTATGTCTCTTGTAATGTTAAGTTTTCAACGTTTTCCATTCAATCTCTGAATTCCGAGGAAAATGCAAGTCCACAGCTCTGTCTGCACACCACTAACTGGTGTTCATTTTGCTTTGGACAGGATTACCTCAACGGTGGCATGTGACATGGACCTCTCCAAGTACCCGATGGATGAGCAGGAATGCATGTTGGACTTGGAGAGCTGTAAGGGCTGAGTGCAGCACTTCATCTAACCTGTATTTTGCTTGAAGCCTGCATGTATGGTTCTTAGCTTGAGGGAACTTGCTGGAGTGATTCTGCTTTAATCAGTGAAATGTAATGGGTTTAGAAAGAAAGGGTACAAAACACATCCCTTACTCCATGTGCCAGAGATGGACTCGTTCAGCTCCAGTTTAAAGATGTGGGATTTAATTCAGTGAAGCTGAACAACCTGCAGTCCTGCTTAAAACAAATGTCCAGAACTTTGTGTTTTATGTAAAGCCTAGTGGCACTGTGACAGTCTTTTCATTAGCATTACTGAGGTTTCCATCAAGTCCAGCAAGATGTAAAGAAGCCCATGGGCAAAATTTGGTGTGCTATTTTTGCTTTGTGAAAAATGACCAAAAAAAACCCCCAAAAACACAGGAAAAAGAAAGATTTCCCTATTTTTAATGAATGTGATTGTGCCTAACCTTTGCATAGCCACCTGCTACACAAAAATCAATCAGAATATTTCAGAGAATGGCTTAAATTCATTTGTGCTCAAAAAGGTGAGTGAAGAATGAATGCGTATTTTTGAAACCTAGAGGAGCTCAGGGCTCTAGGTATATGAGTATTGGTTTCTAAGCAGAAGCACTGCCCTATTGATTTAAGATTCATTTATTCATACATATATTAAGATTCATTTGCCCTATTGATTTAAGATTCTGTTTTTCATTTTTTAGCCCTGACTTTGTTTTCTAGGCAATTAACCACAATACCATTTTATCCTGTCAAAAATAGCAATCTACAGTTTTACTTATGTAATCACCAACTGTAGAGGCAGCAGACACTGAACCAGCAATCAGTTCTTTCCTTCTGCAGGGAATTTTGGTGGTGGTTGAGTTTTTCTAATTGAATTTGAGGATTTTGATGTCAGTGCAACAAACAAGTAAGAAGCAAGACTCCTTAAAGAAACAAGGTGGTTTTGCAGCAAGTTGTGCATTAACAACAACACCAGCAAAGATTGATTTCCTATGGATTTGCATGTTACATAAATTCATTCATGCATCTCCCATCCTTCTCTCCTACCCTGGTACCCTGTGCCTCTCTTCCAGCTGGCACCCATGCCAAACTACAGCAATTAATAGCCTGATATACATGGTGATTGTGAAGCTAGTGACTTGATTTGAGGATGGACACAGGTCTGTGCTGTGCTGCTGTTCTCTAACTGGAGCAGGTAGCCTCGTTTGAGCACTACAACAGCAGTCATTCTGCTCCTGTGAGCAGGCACATGGGCATTTCTCATGACACTGAAGTGCACTGTGCCATACCACATACTGTTAGTCAGTGCAAATCAACTCGGATTATTCTCCCTGTAGGAAAGCCACCCCTGATGGGATCCTGGAAACACTGATGTTGCCAGGATAGTGAATTATCTGGAGTGAATCACAGCATGTTTGCAATGGGACCAATGAAAATCAGTGTAGCAGAGGAATTACAGCACTTCCCCAGTGAGCCCTCTAGGTTCTTAATTTCTTCCCCATGCTTTGCATTTAATCTGCTTTCTTTTGGCAGATGGTTACTCTTCAGAGGACATTGTCTACCACTGGTCAGAAAACCAGGATGAGATCCATGGGCTGGATAAGCTGCAGCTTGCTCAATTCACAATTACTAACTACCAGTTTACAACAGAACTGATGAACTTCAAATCTGGTAACAGGATCTGTCTTCAATTCAGGGACAGTATCTGTTCATACAGGAAAATCTATTTCTATAATAGAGAATCCCTCCTCCTCAGTAACTAATTTAAACAATCTGTCAGGTTTCTAACATGAATTTTCTGTAGCTCATATTTGCAAAAAATGGTAACCTTTTGCTTTCAGGTAGTCACTATAGCATATTATGTTCTTCAGCTCTATATGCTTGAGAAAATACTGCGTGGAATAGTCAGACAGTGCTTGATAAGGTATAACTCAAATTTTCCTGACCTCATTTGCAACTTTGGATAAGGAAAATTTCCATTAGACCTAATGTTATGAGGCTTATGACGTACAGTCAAATCATCCTAATTCCACCCAGTAGAAGTCAGTGGTGTGTACGTACATCACTGGCTTTATTGCAATGTTTGTAAAAGATTGGAGTCATTTTTTTCCTGCTGATTTTTCATCCTCTTTCATGTACTCAGATCCTCATTTATGCTGCACATCTCCTCTAAGCTCTTTTTTGAGTTTGAAATTAACTTGGCCTTTTAAAAAATCTAAATTTAGTATCTGGAGGACTTTCTACAGCAGATGATAAGACAGTACACATTTTGAAGCAATACTGTTATTTGAGAAGACTCATGATTTTATTTTCAGATCTGGCATTGATATGACCTGAGACAAATCATTTGACCTATTCTTAGCTAACTGTGCTGATGAGAACTGCATAAACCCTCATGCAGAGTTTATGAGGACTAATCAAAAAAGATTCATGAAAGCTTGTTGTGATCCCTGGCCAAAAGAATGTTGTTTGAGAACGTAAATCTGCATCTCTGTAGGAAATGTTCTTCTGCATATCAGTTGAGCTGCAGCTCACTTTCTGTCAGCAGGGCAGTTTCCCAGGCTGAGTCTCCACTTCCACCTCCGACGAAATCGAGGTGTTTACATCATTCAGTCCTACGTCCCTTCTATCTTGCTCGTGGCCATGTCCTGGGTGTCCTTCTGGATCAGCCAGTCAGCTGTGCCTGCCAGGGTGTCCTTAGGTAAGACAGACAAAACGGGGATCTAACAGGAAAGGGTATGTTGATGGTGTAACTATGCTCTCTAATGTCTTGTTTTCCATTCAGATGCATTTATGAATACTGTGTTTAAGTGTGCGGAAGAGAGTGTCCTTTAAAATATTTCCTGCCTGCTTTAATTTCTGCCATGCTATCAAAACAGTTACCTCAATAAAGAACAAGGGCCACTAAAGATGGCTAAAAGCAATAGCGAAGGTGAGGCAGTCCTATAAAAGAACTGATCTGGAGAAACTGAAACCATGACAAAAAGATGTTCCTAAAGCTTGTTAGTCTGCTTGCCTGAGTAAGGGCTGCAAGTCCAGACCCAAAAGTTTTTGAGTGTAAGTCTTCTGGTTTTAATCCAGAACTAGAAGAAAACCAAAGATAAGATGTTCAAAGCTGCCTTAGTCATGCAAATGTACGGTCCTTACAATTTCTTTAAATCCCATTTGGAAAAACAGAAACCATACTAATAAGGGTCTTCTGCTGTGAAAAGTATTCCTCAGTTTCAGATTGGTAAACGCGCTCATGAAGGTGTGTTATGAGACCTAAAGGAGCTTTCTCATACCACGCTGCAGGCATAACCACTGTTCTTACAATGACTACACTGATGGTCAGTGCCCGCTCTTCGCTTCCACGAGCATCTGCCATCAAGGCACTTGATGTTTACTTCTGGATATGCTACGTGTTTGTCTTCGCCGCACTGGTAGAATACGCTTTTGCACATTTCAATGCTGACTACATGAAAAAGCAGAAGAACAAGATCAAAGCGAGAAGGCAGAGTGGAGAGGTCAGTAAGCCAAGTAGTGTGAAAAGATTTGCAAAAGCAATGGCTCTGCATTGCAAAGTTTTCTCCTTATGGAAGTAAATTCTTTTTATAGAAATGCTATTATAGAACAGCCCAGGTTGGAATGGACCTTGAAGGGCCATCAGGTCCAGCTCTTCATGGGAAAACAGAGCCTACATTATCTAACACCCTTTCCAATTCTCTGATACTTTTGTTATTATAGCAAACAATTGAATGTAATTGTCAATGCTCAGTTAGCACTACGACTGCAACACAGCCTTGCATGATTGGTTGCTGTATTTAAGATGGGAAATAGAGAATAAAGGAGAACAAATAAGAAGAGATGTAAAGTCTGTCTCAAGACTTGTACTTCAGAAACATATTTAGAGCTCAGATGTGGTAGCACAGAAGCTTTCAGAGGTCTTTCCATTGTTTGCCAAAGCAAACAATAAATACCATTTATCACTCTCGCATATATTTCACCATGTCAGCATCACGGATAGTTTGGATGAAGTACAAATTGCTATAAATTGCTGTTATATATTTTCCTCTTTCCTTTGCAGATAAACGTGAAGAATGCCATTGTTCTGTTCTCCCTCTCCATCGCTGGTGTGAACCAGGAGCTGGCCATTTCCAACAGGCACCACCGAATCCCCAGAAGTCTGCCTGGATCATATGGCACAATAGAAATAGAGACTGGAGAGACTAAACGGCAGCAAGAGATGAAACTGGATAAAAAGAGTGGTCTGAAATCCCTCTTTAAGCCCATTGATGCTGACACCATCGATATATATGCCAGAGCAGTGTTCCCAGCAGCCTTTGCAGCAGTCAATGTTATATACTGGGTTGCCTACACTATGTAAAAAGCCCAGAACTTTGTGAAGAGCCAAGAATTGAACAGTACCTACACACTAAACAGTCCTTGCTGAAACTGTACTGTGCCATCTCTTCTCAAAATATTTTCCAGTGACCTTGAGACATTTCTAGTCAAGAAACTCCTGCAATCAATTCCTACTAAAGCAGCAAGAAAAACAGTTTGTTACCAATCTGATTTGATACATTAAGGACTGTACTCTGCTCAACAATCCCAGCTCCTTTTGTTTCCTCTCTTACCATGAGAAAACATTTCATATGTACATAACAGCAGAAGTTTAAGTCTTGAACTACCATGTTTTTTCTCCACCTGAAGCATTGGTAAGTAATGAAGACTTAGCCTCTCATGCTCAGAGCATTTCGTTTTTCATAGTGGAACAGCTAATTCCCAGCTTCCACACAAGTGATTTTCTGTGGAATGGTCTAACTTCAATGCAAGTGGCAAAGTTGGCAATTTTAATCACAAAAATCCCATGGTAAAAGTAAAAATAGAAGCGAGTGGGGGTTTATTGAATTTTCCTTTGTCTTAGATAAAGTATTGAAAACATTTCAGTGCTCTTAGTCACAGCATGAAATAAAATACACTACATGGAGTTCTACTGAATTGTTAATAATGACAGCATTACATTTCAGATCTAAGCTAATGAAAGATTTAACACTCGAGCATAGTAACCTTTGGTACTTCAGTGGGCCCCAGCGCAGGCAAAAGTGGTTCAGAAACAGGGAAAGCTCAGCCCTTCTGCATTGGATCACTAACAATTTCAGAGGAGCTTGGTAATGGAGGAACTCAAACTCCATTTTCAGGAAGGATTTTAGAATTTCCTATATGAGTTTCAGTGCAATCTGCCCTACGTGCCTCTGAAAATCTCCTTTTTGCACCTGGCACGAAATAGCTGAGTGAAGTTCAAAGGTGCCATAAATGGCTTTAAGTCATTCAGTCGCTTTGGATATTTTTGCAGTTTTTATTCTATGGCTGACATAATGTTAGGCTTCTTTACTTCCCTGTTTGACAGTGAAATGTATGAGAACTCAGATGCACCCCTCAACTCAAGACTGGATCCTCTCGCCATGCTCACACAAATAACACCTTGTTCTGTGAGTAACTCCAGGGATCCGGCAAATGAAGGCAGTATTCACAGCAAATACAAGTTTCATAGTTAATCTCTATCAAAAAAGCACAGTAAATAGATTGGGATATAGATTAAAACAACAGACGTATTTAAGGCACTTTTTTGGATTTTTTTTTCTTCCTTTTTGGGGGGATTCTGGTGCCTTGAAAAATAAGGTTGTTCCAAACCTAGAGAAAGAAGATGCAACAGAAAATATTACATGAGAGAAGGAGGGAATGAGTGAGGCTAAGGAGATGGCTGAAAGCTGTGGAAGGGAGCATGGGGAGGTGCAAGATGAAATAGGACACAAGATGTAAATGAGAGAAGAGCAGTGCTGGGCTTGGAAGATGGGCATGGCTGATGGAACTGCAAGGAGGAGGAAACAAGCATTGGTTCACGCATCCCTCCCACCTTACCTATCTGTGACACACGGCTCAATTTCATATGACCAGAACTGAAAGAGCATTTTAAGGCAAATTTATGACTTCCAAAGAGACTTGCTCAATATCACTGAAGTAAGAGAATGCACTGAAGAAAAATTAATGATCCTGAAGTGAGCTATGATATGAACTATGATCCCATCGTAAGTCAGGCTGAGGATCACGTGGATTATTTCTGTTCTACTGGAAACATTTTCAGCCATGTGCTGGAAGGTGCAAACCATCACCCAGCTATGTTTTTTCCAGAAAGTTCTCATCAGTCTGGCCCTGGACTGAGACACCTGGATTTTGCACTAAGTTCTTGCCACTGATGTGAGGATGAACCTTCCTGGAGTCATTTCATTGCATCATCTGCAAGATGGGTATAATTATACTGATTTCTTTACTAAGCCTTTGAGATCTACAGAAGCAAAATCCTTTTGAGAGACACAGAAACTGTCAGGCTCCAACTAGATACGTGCACTCAAAGTGTACAGCGGCTGGTTATTCAGGGTAATTAGTGAGAAAGTGGCTGCATACATTCTAAAGGCAATGTCTAATCTAATTACTTCAGCAGTAAGAGTCTGTAGTTGTGCACCTGACACAAGTCCATGCCCTGAAGTCAACTGAGGTAATCAGAGGGGGTTATTGGACAAAATTAGCTGCTTCTCCACCTGGGTGCCAATCACCGGCTGCACACCCTGCTGGCTTCTTCATAAGGTTTATTCAATGCATTGTTCTGTATTTGTCTGCAGACCTTCAAGGTGCACAGCTATTGGTGACTGATCAAGGTAAGGGGTGGCTACGGTCTTTCCCTCAAAAAAATCCACAAACCTAACAGCAAAAACCACGAAAACCACCACCCAGGACAAAACAAAGCAAAGAACACCAAAACCGAAACCAGAATGCTAGGCTGTCACATAAAAAAGCATAAAAAAAGGGGGGGGGAAACCTCAGAATATTTCAGGAAGTCAGAATGTGAGAATCCATGTGGCAGTTGTGTCCCCTCCAGGAATGAGGTGACTCAGAGGGGAGAACAGGCCTCCCTGCTGCTGCAGTTGCAGAGCAGCACAAGGCAGAACAACTCCATTGTGAAGTTACAGCTTTTGAAATGTGTTTCCAAAGCCAGAAATAAAACAGATGCCTTCCAGATTCTTTTACAGGAGGGATGTTAGTACAGGAGTACTGTGTCATTATTGGAATTTTGAATAAAACTGAAGCTTCTGTACATTTGAGATTGTTCCACATTTTTGATTTTTTTTTCACATTTGAAAACCATTACACATTATTAATATCTGAGGACAATGCCCTAATCAACTCGATTTTTATGGCACACTTAATAAACAGAAATAAATAAGCTAAATCTGATGTCACTGGAAGGCTTGCAAGCTTTGGATGGGTTGTGCTAATATCAGGAAGGAAATACATATATAATATATATATGAGGACTGTACCTGGAAGAATTTGTATTCCTTTCATCAAAGTAGAGCACTGCTCTAAAATCCTGGTGTGTCTGTGAGAAAGAAAGAGGGATACGTATTAATGTAATCATTCTCAATGTGAAGTGTTAATAAAGCATAGTTTGTACAGAAGTTGTAGCTCCCATAAAATGGACAAAGCAGACATTCCAGCTATTGAACCGAAAGATAAAAGACATTACAAGGAAAATCAAAATAACCTCAGGGATTTCATCCCATAATGAAGTCTTGCCTTTTCAGCACCCAGAGGCTCATAAAACTCTCATTTGGCCTCGACAACAGAAGAGAAAGGACCATTCTGTACTCATGAGTGCTTTCTGTGGGGCTCTTCTGCAGACTACTGAATTTATATTAAAAAATAGCTGTTGCTACCTAAAGAGGTTGAAAAGAAACAAGGCACAAGAAGAACAAGGCGTTGCACCATTAGTTTGAAAGACATGCTTGCAGTGACAGCACTATTAAAAGGTTAATATACAGATAAGCCTGTCCTGTTTCTGGGCAAGAAGGAAGCATTTATTCAAGGTAAAGTAAAAGCTCTCACATCAGTTCTTAACAGGGTTCCTAATCCAACAGATAATGTAGCGAAACCAATTTAACTCAATGAGGCTTCTGCTGTTGGTACAACAAAGCACTTAGTATGAACACTCTCATTTTAAATATTCAGTCATTAACCTAAGAAAGCACTTCACATTAAGAGGAAAACAGCACCCCGTGCAGATCTGCCTGTGCAGCAGAACAGATAACAAATGATTACTGAAAGTTTCTTAGGATATTTATTAAAAAAAAAAACCTCGGTGCGCTCTCTTGGTTGTAAGGCTTAAAACACTTGCAAAGGTTGTTTGATGATACAGTAACACTGTGTGCAATGTGTTACAAGCATACCTAGCTAGCTCTTCCTAATGAAGACTGAACAATTCTGGCAATGGATGTGTACCTATTTGGAAAAATTTGGCAGCTGAAATGCAAGCCACTGCCTCTTTCTGCTGTTATAGCTTGTGTCTTAAATGAAAAGACTTTGAAGACCTAAGCTCATAGTTACATAATGCATTAAGGATCTGTCCTCTCCTTATACAAGCTTTATGTCATGGCTATTCCTTTTACTAAGTCATGCACAGTTAAAAACAAATCCGAGAAGACAGCAAAGCGCGCTCTGTCAGGAAATACAGCACCAACAGAACTGATCAGATGTTACTGGAGTTCCCTGTTCAGCAAAACGGTGGTCCAAAAAAAGAGCTCCAAACGTTCCTGATCTCTCAGGTATCTAAAAACTTCTGGTCGTTGCAGATGTAGGACCAACCAACGCACAGCAGTGACTAATCCTATTGAAGCAAAGACTTCTCTGCCCACAGGTCCAGCCTCCATCTTTTGGTATAAAGCCTGTCATGGATCTCCTACATACCTTCACCTTTTCCTGAGATGAAAAGAGTACTGGAATTACCTTTGCTAGCATAAATATCATGAAGTCCTCAATTTTCATGCACTGGGTAACCAGGTGGGGTGAAGAGGACATTTTTCTTTACAATATAATAAATAATTGGCCAGCTGGGAACAGACATGGCTGGAAGCTGCACACAAATACATAGTCCACTGGGTTATGCCAGAATTAGAATTACCACAGTCCTCTAAGATTAAATAAAGATTGAACGATGGAATACAGAGTAATCTGTAAAACATCTGGCACAATACTCCATCCAGGCTGTTCTTCCTTTGTCGCTGTTTCTTTCAGAGTGAGACAAACACACAAGATCTATTTCTGTACATCCTACCATACTTTTTAGATACCTACGTAGGATTTCCCAGCCCTTATCTTTCCAGGTTATATGTACAACTAATATATATACACACATATGAGCTTGAATATTTGGAAGCCAGAAGGATTCTTCATATATTTTGTACACGATATCACATATCATATTTTTAAAGTGAACTTCTCCTTTACAAAGAACAAACATTTAACAAGTCTGCTACAAGTACTTTTAGATTGCCTCCAGTGGTGTTTCTGGGCTCTCTTAGTGAGGGATTCATCAGACACTTTCAGGATGTGGAAAACACCGCATTAAGAGCGATCGCCTTTCATTCCAACTGAATGATGGCTGGACCAACAGTGAGAATTCAGAAAAGCTTAATTAGTCTGGTCCAAGAAAAGCAAAACAAAAGAAGACTCTAGAAGAACCAAGGTGAAAATTTGATCCCCAGGGTTTGTTTTTTTGATTTAAAATTTTTTTTTACCATTTTCTTCCATGCTCTGAATCAACAGTTCCAAGTCTTCAGTGGCAGAAACACTCATTTCCTTTCTTCTACACTTTCACTGTCACCTTCCAGAAGGTGAATTTGTTTCTGAAGGATTAGGATCAGGGTATGCAGCGAGAAAAAAGATTTACAGTACACTGTCTGCTGGTGTTCACACGCAAAAGGAAGACAGGTTAAAAATATGTTTCCACAGAGACGGGCTGTCGAAATATCTTGGAAAAATAAATATAGAAGCATACAGGTTTGGTTTAATTTATTTTAAATGCATGTAGCTTGGTCTACCCATAGAATCCTTCCTGAAACTCCAGGTCAAGAAAAGTGAGTTAGCTTCTGGGTGCTTCCATTTTGCATGAAAGAGACAAGTAAGGAGATTGTCTTAAAGCAGCCTTGAAAAATCATTCATTTTGTCTATTTTAAGAGGCTAACCAACAAGTGAGAAAATCAATAAAGAACAACCACAGTGATTTCTGGTGTCAAGCAGGATATATGCCTTCTTCCAGTTTATGTTACAATATATTGGTGTTTTCCCTAATATTTTCTTAAATCCAAACTCAGGGTTATTTAGCCCATACTTGCCCCTACTGGATCCAATGATTCCACTGCCATCAATTTCAACAGAAAATACAGCCTGGCTGTTTCTTTGGAAGAAGAGAGTCAGTAGGCTGGAGGCAGCCTGCTGTCTGTCTGCAGGCGCAGCTGCTTTGATTTGCTAAAGAAGAAATTCTGCGGAGGTGCATTTTGATTCTTGAGTGACACAGAACTGATTACTCACACTTCACGTCTGTGTGAAGATAGCAGCTTTCTGTCCTCTTGTCCTGTTGTTTTGTTCATAGCCTGAAACCATCAGTTCTGATCCCTACTAAATCCCTAAAAGCTCAGAAAGTTGGCGGTCCTAAAATATCTGAAGATTTGAGTCACTAGTTGAAGTAAAAACAGGACAGCAATCTTCTCCTTATATTAAGGTAAAAGTCATACCAAAAGGTACTTCCCCCCCCCCCCCAAAAAAATGGTTTTTAGGAACTATTTGTCATAACGGTGTCTTAATTCAAACATTTGAAAGGGTGAAGGATTGGATTTTTTTGCCTTTTTTTTTTTTGTTTTTTTCTGTTACTCTCGCACGGCTCACACAAAGACTTTGTACCTGAAAGAACCGATTTCACCAAGGAAAAGACAGAAAAACCCGCAGGTCCTGCAACTCCATCATCAGACCTAAACACCACAGCTATACAGCTTTCTGTTGGAATTTGTAAGGAGCCACAAATAAGGAATTTGTTAGAAGAACGCTGGAGAGCGCAGCTCCGCGCAGCTCAGCTGCCTTCGGCTGAGCGCTGCCTGGGAGCCTTGCGCCACCTGCTGGAAGCACGCGGGTGTTGCGCGTGTTCCTGTCGGAAACACCGGTGCGATGAGCAAAAGGAGGGGAAATTAAACACAGGACCCGCCGCTCCGGATGTCCTGAACGAACCTGAGCCCGACACGCCTCATTAAAAGCCTGCAAATTAAGGAGGCCCTCCTCTCTCATAATTAATCCTAGGCATGCTCTGTTAAATTAACAGCAATGAAGCACGAAGTGCCAGAGCAGCGAATGGAACCCTGTTTTCTCTGTCGTACTTTCTGAGCCGTCACTTGCCCGCCGCTCAGCTCAGCCTCCCGCGCTTCCCCTCACGCTCTGAGCCGCGGCTGCCCGAGCTGCCCGCCGTGCCCCGTGAGGGCGCCCAGGAGGCGCTCATAGCCCTCCCGGCGCGGTGTCGCTCGCACTCATTGCTTCTCACCGGTCTGAGCCCGCCTCCTGCCAAGCGCTGCCGCGGCTCGAAGCGCGGAGGTGCTACAGAGGCACAGTGCCCGAGGGGAGCTGGGTGGGACGGCTCCACCGCGAAGAGATCGCCACCTACCGCCTCCTTTGCGCCATACCTGTCACCTCAGCGCAGGGAGGGGTACGCCCGCCGCGTGCTTCTTTGATTGGCTGCAGGTGTTCGGCTCTCGGTTCTATCCTGGCTTTTGATTGGTCGGGAAGCCACTACTCTCCCAGGTAATGGTTCCTGGCCTACGATTGGCGGTAGGTAGAAGGTAGCCTTTTGGGGATTGGCTCCAGGTGAGCCGAAGCTCGCTATTGGCTGACAGGTAAAGCGGGAGGCATCCTATTGGCTGTGGGGGTTAGTGCTCTTAGTCCGCCATGTTCGGCGCGGTGGCGCCGTTGCTACTGGAGCCGGCGGGCGGGGGGGCGGCGGGGCAGCTGAGGGGAGCGCGGGGCGAGCTTTGCCGCGCGCCGCTCCGTGAGGCAGCGACTGCCGCCGCGCTCCGGGAGCTGTGAGCCGGATGGGAGGCGAGTCGTGAAAGTTGGCTCCGAACTTCCTGACGGGACTTTACACAACTTCAGGCCGCGGCGGGGTGAGCCGGGTCCCGGTGGGGCGGGGCGGGCCGCGGCCGGGGGCCCGCAGGGCGCGGGGAGCTCCGAACAACAGGAGGCGGGCGGCAGAGCCCGGCTGGTTGGACCCCGACAGGGCGGGGCTGTGTGGTAAACAGGTGGGGGTGAGGAGGAAGGGGGGGAGGAGCGTGCGGGAACTCGGGGCGAAGGGGTTGAAGCGTCGGAGAAAACTTATTGGGGCTGTTAGAGCTTTTCTTCGTGCTTTTATCGGGGAAATTGGAAGCGAAGGTGAACCGAAAGCTGTTCCGTGTGTGCGCTGCCTCCTGTCAGAACGGCCTGCGGAGCAGCGGGCTGGGGGAAAAAAAATAGCCTCAAATCGGCGTGAGCGCCGCGCTCGGAGAGTTTCACATCGTCCCGTTTGCGTGCGGGGCTGCCGTTGTGCTGACCGTGCCTGCTGTGCACAGCTGCGCCATCACCTGCGGAGCTCCGGGACCGAGAGTTTCGTGTGCTGAAAGAGCGTCTGTGACCTCAGGCGGTGTGCTGAACGCGGACCATGCCCAGCAGGATGGGCTCGAAAGGCAATTTGAACAAAGACATCATCAGGGTAAAGGCGCACTACAGTGGGTGAGTCTGTGTGTTTTCTGTCTGTTGTATCCTCCCAAACTTTGGCTCCTGTCTGCGGTCTGATCTGGTAACAGAATAACTCTGGTGTCCTGTAGTTTATGTCTGGTAATTAAGTAGAGTGATTAAAATACCATCCAGATTCCTGCAGTGTGTTGGTTGGAGGAAGGAGCTGATAGCTTGGCCTTGAATTGGGGAAAACGTGTGTGAGTGGTGTAAAGTTACTGGAATTATTTAGATAAATATGAAAAGTTAATCTTAATTGCTTCTGATGCTAACAGTGGAGTCAGATGAACCTCTACAAGCTGCTTGAGGATCTGTTTGTACTAAATTAAACACCTGTAGATTAAGCAAATGTGTATTCCTGTGGTGGATAAACACCAGCAGTAAACTTTTGCATGTTATCTGTTAGTCTGCTTTTTATTTTTGATATCTGCTTCCCCTTATTTCCCCTCCCAGCAGTTTGAGTAATGCAATGGGGTGTTAACACACAGCTGCTTCCGTTATCTCTGCAGTGCTTTTTCTGGCAGCTCTGATTTGAGACAGTAAATCAAGTCGTGGTCCTTATGGCTTCAGTCACTTGTTGACAGAGTCAGGAAGCCTTACTTATTGCTTCAGCATGAAATTTGGTTTTTCAGACAGATTTAACCTGATTGATTTACTGCCACTACGAGGACCGTGTGAGTTAACGTTGCTTTGATCTGCCTTGTTTTTCTCTAAAGCCAAAGTTTTAAGCCATTTGAGGAGTTAAATGTTTGGTTGAAGTAAATCTTCAGACTTGAAGTGTTTAGCTTGAAATTACTGGCACGTGATAGCAGTAGCCTCAGTAATCTTCTCTGATGTTTTCCTCCTCAAATAAGCAAATGTTGCCACTGTGGTTTTTAATACTGTGGTGTAAGAAAGGGCTTCTAATTAAATGTAATTATGAAAGTAATTCCACCAAACTTAATTGAAAATGAGGTGCTTTCTTGTTGAATTTACTTGCCAGGTCAATGCCAAGTAACTCAGCATTCTGAGTGTAGAATTCTAGAGCAGTGTGGAGATGTGGCCTCTTCCACATAAAGCCCAAAGCTGAACAACTTCAGAATTAGTTCTGAGTTCATTTGGGTGGCTGCTAAAAGAATTTTATAGAAATTGATAGTATGTTCAGTCATATAACAACAGGAAGCAATAGTAAATGGTGGTATCACTTAGAAATCCAATAAATCTAAGCACGAGGAAGTTACAGAGCACAATGTTCAGTCTATCTCTGAGGTCCCAGGGCTGCAGGTATGTGTGTTTCGGGGTGTGACCCTTCATACCATCGTGCAGTATAGATGTATACATAGATAGCAGAAGAAGGGAAACGTGTATGCTTCTCATTGCATTCTGTCAATTTATTGTTGCTCATGTATGTTAGTGGCAGCATTTCAGATGAAGAACGCTGATTGTGTAGCGTGGTGTTGCAGATTGAAATCCGTAGATGGGATTGTTGGAACACACAGTGTTATACAGATAAGTCTGACAAGAGTTTGATTTCATGTCATGCAGAGACATCCTGATAACTAACTTGGATGCATCCATAAGCTATGATGAGCTTTGTGATGAAGTGCGTGAGATGTGTAGTCTGCAACAGGAGCAGCCAATTACCCTCAAGTGGATTGATGATGAAGGTACTGTACTGAAATACTACTTGGTAGTTCTCCTTTTTTTGGTGTGTTATGGTACAAACAGAGGCACTGAACAAACTTAAATAAAAGCCATTCATGCTGGGGGGTTGCTTTTATTTAAACTGCTTTATAAAACAGGGTTACGTCCCCTGCTGATTGCATGTAAAATGCGACTCAATGTCAGGATTGTACTACAACTGGATTCAGTTCTACAAAGTGAAGGCTCTGTTGAACTTGAATATTTTACTATTACATGTTTGGATGCTGAATGCCAAGGTACACATGAAATTCAGACGTTTGTGGTACTGATGCCATATCCCTCAGAATTCTCCATTCAGCAAGGTGACTTGTATCTTCTGAATTGTTGTGATTTGCCCCTAGAGCAGGCCTTTGAGAAGTCATGCAGTTTTAAAAACAGTCTTCTGATATTATCTTTTGGATTTCTTTGTTTTGTGCAAGATGGGTGTTGAAAATTCCCATTATAAGTGATTTTGTTCTGTGGCTGTCCTGGACTGTTAGTATCCCGTTGGTGTAAAGCACAGTCAGAGAATCATGAAGGTTGGAAAAGACCTCTAAGATCATCTACTGACCAAGCATGAAATAAAATGACTTGAATTTGTCAGAAATGAACTGGCTCACCAGTCTGGTGCGAGGAAAAATCTTAGTGTATGTAAGATGACATGTCCAGAAAAAGAAAACACAGGGGAAGAACTTTCTGTGTGGGCAGAAATAGTGTAAGCTTTTATAAGTATAAGCTTTTAATAGTGTAAGCATGGAGATCAGAAAGTTGTGTAGGAATGATTTGTTGTGCAAGTCTCTGTTGCTTTCTTTCTTCCTGCAGGGGAGGTTGGTGTTGGCAGATCTTGCTCTGGGTTATTCTTGTTTGTAAAGGATTTTATCAGTGTGTTTAGTTTTTTAAAAAAAAAAAAAAAAAAAAATTGTGAGAAATTTACCTTTTCTTTACCCTTCCTGTAGGCTCTGAAGTCTCCTGGTGATGTGAGATGGTTTTCAGTATTTCTCCTTGCTGCACAATGTGGCATTTCTCTACAGCCTTCAGTTAGATAGAGCCTTCTGGTTGCTGTGAGTAGGAGCAGGATGGAAGTGCTTGGCATTGTGTGCCTTTGCTATCTGCTTGCTTTTTTTAGTAACTCAGATACCTGCTTATGACTCTCAGGTGTGACGCAGCTGTAACTTTTATGGTTGGATCTCTTAGCCAGTAGGTTGTAAACAGCTGCCTCGTGGTTATACAATTGCACTGGCACTCAGCTTCATCTTAGGACTGACAAAAAAGATACAGACAGCCATACTGATTTCAGTTTGTTTCATTGCTGTGTGCAGCAGTCTAATAAAAACTAACTTGATAAGTGCCCACAGGATATTGCGTGTGTGTAGCTTGTTGAACTGCATGATAGCTAATGCCAGGGAGATTCAGGTAGCACAGAAGATGGGGTTTTGTTGAGGGTGGTTTTTTGCTGGTGCTACTGTTGCAGAATTTGTATTACCTGATCTGTGGGTTGGGTTTGTTCTTGGAGGGTGCAGCTGGGGGCTGTGAGCAGAAAGAATTTTCTTTACAGGAGAAAAATCTTCCTGCTCATTCTTGTCACTAAATTGTCACAAACTTGCTTTTGATTAATTACTGTCATCCACAGTTGCTTTTCTTCTTGTAAAGCTTGGTTTGATGCCTTAGTGTCCATTAAGTGTATTCCTGTATGATGGTGTGAATACTTGTGCTTCCACGTATTTTCCTTATGTAAGATGTGGACAAGATACAGTGCTTGAGCTGAGGCTTCAGTGTTCTGTAATGCTTATGTCTCCATTTAGTTTACTTTCTTGTTTTATTAAGCTGTTTGGGTATGCAGTTGAGGCTAATGTGTTGCTGTTGCCTTTCTGAGTGGATTTTAAAGCTTGTTCTGCACTAATGAAGTGTGTGGGTGCAGAAAACATTCATAGGAAAGGCCAGAAGTATGTATTCATAACTTCCACCTGTATTTATTTGTTACAATTCAGTCATAGATTGCTTCTCTAAGTCTAACAAAAGAGTCTCAAATCTGCATGCACCTTTATAGCCTAAGCTGTGTTGTTCTGCCTCAGCTTTGTACACTGCAGTAACGTGACAGGCCGGATAACAAAAGGTAAATTTAACATTTTCAGGGCACTCTGAAGTGATCTTTTTTCCCTCTGCCACATGTTAAGATGTTCAAACATTGACTCACTTGTATTGGACCAACACAGTGTGCTTCTGTCTGCTTAGTTGGGGTGAAAATAGGAAGAGAAGAAATTGTTCTTATGTTCTGTATGTGATCAAAGTGCCTGATTAATTTCAAATTACTGACAGAAAAGCAGTCCATGGGCTGGTACTGGCTGAAGTAGCCTACTCCGTATTTCAGTCATAAATTTGCACGTCTTGCTTTTCTCCCTAGGTGACCCATGTACCATCTCATCCCAGATGGAATTGGAAGAAGCCTTCCGTTTGTATTGCCAGAACAGAGAGGAAGGGCTGATCATTCATGGTAAGTATTATAGTGTTTGAGACCTTGTATTTATTTATTTGTTGGTAAACACAACACCTTCAGAAATGTGAGATTAGAACAACTTCTGCCTGTCAAATAGCATTCTTCTGTATGTTCCTGGGGTACCCTGTGCTTTGGTGCTGTAAGGCTGAAGTGTTCTGTTGGCTGTGGGGTTCAAAGCTGGCACAGTGGAGCAGGCTTGGAGTTGTGAAGCCCAGATCTGTGGATGTGGGCAGTGCTTTGTGATTGTGTTTTATGAAGGAATGCTACTTAATGGCTGTCAAAGTTTTGGTTTTGAGTAAATGCTTTCAAAAGTCAGGTGAATAGCACTGCTGAGAATCTTTCCACTTAAAGACTCAATGTTTTTTTCTAGTTTTCCCAAGTATTCCAGAGAAACCCGGCATGCCTTGCCCAGGAGAAGACAGTGAGTACCACAATGCTGTCAAATTGGAGCTTGTATTTTGTCAACTGTACAAAAAAAAAAAAATTTGAAAGCTTTTCATAAGCTGTATTTATGTTCTTGTATTTGTTCAATATGTTAACATTACTAGAGCAATTTTACAGTAGTATCTTAATGTTTCTAAGGATTAACACTGGTTTCCAGTAGCTGGGAGGAAAAGAAGCCAGGATTTAATGTGGTCCTTGCTTTTGCATTTCTTTTGTTTCTTAACTTTCAGGAAAACAAATTGATGTACATAAGAGTGAAATGCAGTATTTTTTATTATTTTTATTTTTTGCAAAAGGTTTATTTAGTTATTGAAGTCATTTGGAAGGTGGATAAACCTCCAGAGGAAGGAGGTGTATTTCATATGGTCTACTTGTATTTCAGTGACTTAATCTGCACAGGGATGAAATGATTAAGTAGCTATGTAATCACTTTTTGTTATGGAGGAAATTAATCAGTTTGTTAGTCAACATCTTTGTAAATGCTGAGAGAGGAATGTGCAAAATGGGTGACAGAGTTAACAGGTGATGGTCACTTGGAGTGAAAGCCTTCTGAAGGGCTGGAGGACCTTTGCTGTTCCGTATTTGGAAGATACAAGAGGAGGTAAATAGTCCATCCTGGAACGAGCAGTGCACAGAGCTGACCAGGGTCTGCACTGACAGACCAAGTAAAAATGTGCAGTGCTGTGCTCAGTGGCCATGCATGATATTTTCAGTTAGAGAAGTAATACCAATGTACCAATGATAGTTCTGTTGACAGCTCTTACTGAAATTTAGATGGAGTAAGGTGGAATAAATGCAGAGATATTACATGGTGTGAACTTGTACATTTAAACTGCAGTGATCTAAAGGTTGAGTGCGAAAAACAGACAAATTGAGTAGATGATTAGTGTAGATGTCTAATCTAGTAGAAAAAGGTAAATGTGCATTGCAGTATCTGCTGTACTTGTTAAGCCAATTAGAGAAAATAACTGTTTTCTGTGCTGAAGAGAAATGTTCAAAAAATTTTTTGTGAAATGTTTCAATCATACAGAAGGAAAAGAAAGATATCAGTGGCCTTTAGGTTGACCAGGCAAGCGTTTGTTGATGTTTAATACTCTATTTTCATCTACCTGGAGTTTCTGTGCATTGTTTAATGCTCTTCTGTGCCTTAACTGTTAGCTGAGTGGTTTTCTATTAGTTGTGCTCAAGTTTTGACCAAAAGAATGGCTGGCCAGTTTTTGTTATATCACACTCTGCTGAATGCACAGGTGAACGTGACTTAATTTCTGTACTTGCTGCCCATGAGTTAAATTTTAAGTGAGGGCTGTAGTTCTATTTTACTGCATGTTAAGAATGTGTAGGCTTAACCATGCTGGCACTTTCCAATTTAGATTAACAGGTTGGAAACATGGGAAAATATTTTCAGGTTTAGCTTCATCGTTGTTCTGGAAGGAGTGATTTTAACTCTGTAGGTTTAAATGTTCTCTCAGCATGCTTCCAAGAAAGGAACACTGCTTTATTCTGGGACCTGGAAGTGTTATAGCTTGAACTCTGAGCTGGGAAAGTGTCAGTGTGCACAGGAGGACAAACCTTGAATCCCTTCTTTGATCTCCATGGCTAAGAATGGAAGGGAAAAACACTGCTATCAAAAGAGAGTAAGCTAACAGGAGAGATCTCTGTACAAATCATGCAGCGTAATGAAGTTTGTTGTGATTTAATGTTCTCGTTAGAGATGTGGATATTTAGAAGAAAAGTGGTTTTGATAGTGATCTGTAGATATTTTTAATTATTGCAGGCCACCAGATGAGCTAGAGAAGCATCAATTAGCGTGGCACAGGTGACCTGCATGTTCCATCTGTAGGGTTTTCAGGTCACGTTGAACTGTTGGCTGTTCTCTAGGATGTACTTGATAAGTGACTTGTGGTCTGGTTTCTCAATTAAGGGATGAATTCAGAGCCTGTTGCTTCTTTGCATCTGTGGGACCTACGTGGAAATCTGTTATTGTGGCCTGGTTGTAAATATTTTCAAACTGTTTTTACAGCAGAGCTGTTAAGCTGTACTGGTGCTAATTTAGAGTATGCTAATGCACTCAGCATTACTGCTTATTACTTACACATGTACAGCAAAGATCTGCTTTGCTCTTGGGCTGTATGGAAATGCTCCTGGTTCAGATGATATTGTTTGTTTAAAGGCCATGCAAGGGAAGTAGATGATCTCAGTAGTACTTTAACTTCTCATGCTCCAGAAGTACACCTAAACAAAATACCTGATTAAAAAAATATGACTTTGTGCTCAGCTGTTTGCTCTGTGCTTAATGGGAACTGGGAAGTTAACATGGCTCAGTGTCATTTGCTTAGAAATGTACAGCATGTTTCAAACTGTTCTTTTATTGGTTTTATCATATAGTTACACTTGTAAGAAATCCCTTTCCAGAGCATCCTGCATATACTATAGAAGGAGCTTCTAAGTTTGTCTCAAGGCACTTCCAGGGGTAACTAAACAGTTAATTAGTCACTGTCCAGAATGGCTTCTACTTAAACTAGTAGTCAGTGAGTACATATTCTGTGTGTTACAGAGCTGCAGATAGTTTGGAATAAAACTTCTTCTAAGGAGCATTACTGAACTGCTAAGTCATTTTGTTTGTAATATACTGTTCAAACCTGTTTGCATTAGGTTATGGGGTAACTGCACCTGGTCGTGTTGTGACCTTCTGAATTGCAGATATTGAGTGGAATTGCAGTTGTCTTTCCAGTTGCTTCAGAACAATCCTTTGGAGTAAGAGCGTAGAAATGTCTACTGAGTATTTTGTGTTTATGTTGAAATCTAGTAATAAAATTGCTGGCCGTCCACAAACTTTGTGAAACTGATGTGGCTTTGAGATTGTGCCAGCCTGTAATGCCTGAAATAAACACATGTAATCCATTAATAAAATAAGGAATGCAAATACCACTGAAATTTCAGTCACGTGGTGTAGGAGAAGTTCTTTCTGTGCTGGAAGCTCCTTTTTTATTGTTGTGATGCTGTCTGCAATGTGGAATAACTGCAGATTCTTCAGAGTCAGATTTGTACAGTCTCTGTTTCTTTTGCTCCTGAATTGTTCCCCCCTCCTTGGCTTAGCTCCTCCTATGGATGTACAGCTGCTGCTGTAGAAACAGCACCTACCTTCAGTGAGACAGGGCATCCCTGGCTGGGAATGGCAGTGCTGCTGGCGGTGGTGGCAGAGCTTCTGCAGTGCCTGCAGCCCTTAGCAGGCGCTGGATGCGGCTCAGAGGCGTTCCTGGCAGCTGCTGAGCCTCAGTCCTTGGTCGGTCCTGGAGTTCCCTGATAAAAATGGGGGACTTCTCCACCAGTCTGCTACATTTAAAAATACTTGTGGAGTATAAGCGAGCTATCATTTTGGCATCAGTGTTAAACAGGGCTGTTTCTGAAATGTTTATTTCTTGCCTGTGCTCGTAAGCGAGGGCCGTCCTGATGCACGCACGTTTCTGATTGGCAGCTTTGCTAATTATTGTAGTCTCAGCTTATTTATACCGACAGATCTTGATGTGATTTATTCCTCCTGGTGCTGCAGCACGTTGTAGAACAAAGCACGTTTAGCTGAACAGTTGCTATTGATTTGTCAGACTTCCCTAACAGCATTGCTGGTTTTATCAGAGAAATACTTGTTTTTGTGACATCAGCTCCTTGACATCCATGCCGTGTTTTAGTCTGTGCCTCAGCTGCTAGCTACAGCCTCCCAAGGGAGCCAGTACCACCCGTGCCTGGATACATGAGGCAGAGATGTGAAAGGGAGAGACGAGGGGAACCAGTCTTCCATTAAATATTTGCTCTTAATGTCCGAGCTGATCCTGCCTATTGTCCTTGGTGTCTAATGGTATTCAAACAGCGGCATCAGTGGAATAAAGGGAAAATGTTTCATTTCATACCTACTGCATTGTAGAGCATAAAGAATTACATGCTGAAGAAGCTAAAGAATAAAACCCAGTGAGTAATGCATGCCTTTTATATAGATTTTACGTGTCATTGTGATTGCTGTTATGAATTCAGGCCATTGATGCAGTGTGTGTGGTGCAGCAGATAATAGAAGTCAGCATTTCGGTTACGATGTAGTTGCTTTGCCTACCAGCCTCCTTTGCAGCCATAGATTGTGAGAAATGCAGAGATTTCTGCTGCCTCCTGCGCGTAGGGATGTGGTGGAGAGACCTCAGAAACGCTGGTAAAATCGCGGTGAAGAGACTCTATCTCAGGGGACGTGTTTTAGGAGGAAAAGGACAGAAGAGTGAGTGATGCTGCTGCTGCTGAGTGAGATTAATGAAGGAAATGTATCCAAAAAACCCTGACGGTATGTGATCAGGGCCTGCTTGTTTTAAGATTGCTGATTTAAAGATGAATGTTTTTAGAAGCACCGTGTTTTGCAGTCATTTTGTTGAATTGTATGTAGTGAATTGTCTTAGATGGGTTGCTTAATTGAGGAAATGTTTATTCTGAATTAGGGCTTAGTTGGTCTCTAATGCTATGAGAATAAACTGTGCTAGCACACCTCTGTATTCTTACATCTGAGCAAATTGATGTGTTTATTTAATGTTAAAATGCATCTAGTTTGAGTAACTGAAGTTAACGAATGCGAGGATTGTTTTGCTGTTGATTTCCTTAGAAGAATGCAGGGTAAAGAACCCTTATATCTTTTCATGAAATAGAATAAACGTTTTGAATGTATGAGTACTTCTGGCATTGGTACGACAGTAGATTAGCATTATTATTATCTAATACTTCCATCTGATTTTTGCTGGCCTTTCCTTTTTTGTAATGCTTACATAGCTGTGGATGCCTGTTATGCTCTTTGTTTATCTGCACGGTATTTTAGCATTAGGTATTTCGACTTCATTTTTTCCCATGCTACCTTTCTTAAAATTTCATCATAGGGTTGAGAAAAGGTATTGCACTAACCTGGTTATTGTCTCCAGTTATTGTAGGTAAGGATGTTGTGTTTTTTGTTTT